CTCCTAGTGAGAGCCTCCACAGCCCCCCTCCTCAATTACTCAGCCTGCAGCCCATAAGAGAATGAAGCAGGGCCTTGTTCTTATTCAGACTCCACTCCCCTTTGGAAAACTAAGACATTTGCCTGCTTCTAATTTTCTGATACTTTCACAGTCTTCGTAATTTCATAATCACCAAGAATTGCAAGCTCTTTCTAGACAAGGAGATCTTTCCCAAGCCTCCTCTGAGGCAGGCACAGGGAGCCCTTCCGGAACAGGGCAAGGCTCCCCTCCACCGTCAGTGGAACGTTTGCATTGAGAGGAATGAAGGAAGCAAAACAAGAGCTGAGGACTTCTCTTAATATTGCAGCAAGAGCCCCCAGCAGTGGGCCTATCACTTCCTGGTTCTTTGTCTTGTTCTAATCATACCTAAAAAGGCTGTTTAAAAATTGTCCCACGCACTTTTGCCCTCTCAGCCCACTCTAGCTTCTTTTATATGGGCCATAAACCTTATTTCTACCTTCTTTCCTCTATTAAACGCTGTGTTTAAACGATACTATTTAAAGTTTTAAAACATAAGCACATTATGAAGCATTTTATAAGAAAACATTCATCATACCTTTATGAACCTGGGTGTTCTGAACAATGAACGCATTTACACGCTGACACATACACACAGGGAGAAGAAGTATACAGGCTCACATGGAAGCTACTTGTATCCTCTCTGTCCTCAGATTACTTTTAGTTCCTTTTCCCTGTGCTCCTTTAGCTTACTTCCACTTTGTTTTCCTTCTGGCATCATTTTTAATTTTAAATTATTGCACACAGATGCATGGATTACTTGACTGGTAGTATTGCAAAACTACAGAAATTAAATAAATGATAGGTTGCTTAGTGTTGGAAGACTGGGTGTTTTGTTTTCACTGCTTTTTTTTTTTCAGTGCTGGGGATCGAACCCAGGGCCCTATGCGCATTAGACAAGCACTGTATCACTGAGCTACACCCTAGTAAATACAATTCATATATAAAGAAGTTGCTGTTTTAAAGGTATAATTAATACCACTGTTCAATTTCAGAACATTTTTGTCACTCCAAAAAGGAACCCCATACCCACTACGCCTCTCTCCATTGCTTCTGCATGTGGATATCCAGCTATCCCAGCATAATTTGCTGAAAAAACCTCCTGCACCTTGTTGAATTGTCTTGATGGTCTTGTCAAAATCAATAAATGAGGGTTTATTTTTGGACTCTCAATTCTATACCATTGCTTCACATGTCTATCCTCACGCCATTACCACACTGTGTTGCCTAGGGTAGCTCTGCAGTAACTTTTGAATCAGGAAGTATCCAAAGTTTGAACTTTTTTTTTTTTTCAAGGTTTCTTTGTCTATCCTGGGTCCATAAGAATGATAGGATTAGCCTGCCAGTTACTTCTAGAAAGAAAACGTAAAGTAGGATTTTGATAGGAATTGTACTGAATCCAGAACCTGATGCTGGGGGCAGGAGGGAGAGAAGCTGCCTTCTTTTGTGGATTGGATGTCTTAAAAATCCACAGACACGATGCTTTTTCCATTTACTTAGGTCTTTCTTAATTTCTTCAAATAATGTCTCAGAGTCTCAATGTAGAAGTCTGTACTTCTTAAGTTTATTCCTAGGTATCTTATCCTTTTGGATGCTGTTGTAAATGGAATTGTTTTCCATGCCACTTTGGAAATGTTCATTGTACAAATGATTTTTATAAATGGATCCTGTATCCTACAACTCTGCCAAACTTGTTTATTTGTTCTGAAGGGTTTTTAGTGAATTCCTTAGGATTTTTCTATATACAAGATCATGTCAGCTAATAGCTTTACTTTTTTTTCCCAGTCTGGATGCCTTTTAATTCCTTTCTTGCCCAATGTCCGGTCCCTGCCCATTTTAACATTTCATAGTTTCTTGAGTGACTTCCCTCTTTTTTCCCCATTAGAACAAATTTTCTAGGGTAAAGTGACAGGGCATAGGAAGAAGAGAGAAAGTAGAGCTCTTGAAAGCAGAAGTTGCAAAGTGTAGTTTGCATTGATTTCAGGTGGTCCTCACATTATCTCAGCAGAAACATCTTTCTTTGTAGCACCTGGGCCCAGGAATTTTTCTGGAAGAATCTCTGAAAACTGTTTTTCTCAAGTTTTGGCCCCAAGCCAGGCCAAGACCAACACCCACCCTTTCTTGGCTGTTACAGAGTAGACATGATCAATTGCCCCAGTGACCATCTCTTCTCCTTCCAGCCAATTCTTCTTTGCCAGAGGTAGACCAGTCACCAGTTCCTACCATGTATCCTGTCTTCTGAAAAATACAAGACAACAAGGCTATCAGCTGCTCTGCGTTTGCCCAAAGAGACTTTGACAAGTATCTCCACGACATCTGTGGAGTCAACTACCCTGCTCTTTTTACTCAGCCTCTTTCTGGCACTTGGCTCCTCCCGATCATCACACGTGCAGGAGTGAGCACATTTTCTTCACTCCGGAGTGCTTCACGCATCCCATCTTAGGAGACCTTTCCTCAGTGCAAGGGACATATTCAGTCGCCTCCGTCCTGATAAGGTCCTGGCCCACCCCGTGGTAGTGGGGCTCCTCGCTCCTCCCAGGCACAGGATGAAAGGAGTTCATTACACGTGTGGAATGTACACCAAAGGCTCTGCTGAGTGACTTAAAATGAGGAGAGATCTCCCTTCATGGCATTGCGCGTCCTGGGTTATCAGGACATCTTGGATGTGCAGGAAGCCAGGTAGATAAGAATCTATGACTGTGTAGACAGGTGCCTCCCACAGCCAAGTATGAGCTTTGAGTACTCCATGGCTAGAAATAAACACCCAGTTTCACTGGCCAGGATTTAACTAAGGCAAGATCCAGGATGACTGGCACCTCAGTCCATCCTTCCACTCACCATCCCAAGTGCCCGAGTCTCCAGGACAGCTGTGATTTTGTTGGGGACCTTCCTCCCAGGAGCTAATCACTTCCTCCTAGTCCACCCTGAAATCAAATTCAGAGGCCACAAGAGTGAAGTCTCACCAAGCTTCTTGTCCACTTTGATTTTCTTCTACCCTCACAGGTCCACCTTGTGCCCACTGTCTAACGACAAAGTCACTTAGCCCAGGGAAGGCCTTGAGTGGCTTCCTGCTAAGGTGATTCCTACCTCCCTCTACTGAGCTCCAGCCCCTTCTTCAAAGTGGTCCACTTGGAGGTAGATGCCAGGAGTCAGATCGAAAGACCCTTCTTCAATTTTTCCATAAAGCTTTTCCAAACGGAGCAAAAAGTGAGAATAGAGTTAAATAGTAATCCAGGAGGAGGAGGAGGACAAGGACGAGAAGGACGAGGAGGACGAGGAGGACGAGGAGGAGAAGGAAAGGCTGGTCATATTTCTGTGGGTGTAGCTGTATGCTCCTACCCCAGGCCTGCTTATTAGCCAGGCTATGGAGAGAGAGGAGGGCACATCGCCTCTAGGTTGGTACCAAGGAGGGACTCCCTATTTACAAATAGGCATGATAAAGTCCTCGTGGCAAAGGAGGAAATGCTCGGGCTGCTGTGCATATGCCATCACTAAGTTATAACAATGTCATACTCTTATTTCTGAATAAACTCCTCCCACCACTTGGTCGTGAAACTTCATTATCCCGGTACTTTAAACAAACAAAAACCGGCATTACTACGTCCTTAAATGTATCGTGTCTGTCATCTTTCAAGGGCCCAGTTACTGTAATACATCGACAGTTCATTTTTCAGTGTCTGGAGTAACATTCAATACTATTTTCACCTTATTAATAAGCAGCAAATAAGACAATCTTAACATTTGCTTCAGTCTTCCTTCACATTCAATTTACTGTCTAGAATACATTTCAATGCAGTACATGTATTTATTTGCTCAGTTGAATTCATTCACAGTGTATCACGGTCTGGATTTAACATATTTCCTGTAGTGACAACCACTCTATTTGTAGGCAATATTTAGGTCACTGGAGTGGAGAAAAAGAGGTCACTGCTTAACAGAACTGGCATGTATCCAAATATAGATGTAGTTTTCTGAACACCTGTTGGACATCATCAAACGATGAAGACCTTGTACCAATTTCCAAAACTCTGCTGCCCCCAACCATATTTGATCAGTCACTCTGTTTCAACTGATACACGGGGTTTAACCCAGAAAAAACAAGTCTCCTCACCAAAGAAAGGGAGCTTTAGGATGTTGGTCACTGTAGCAGAACAGCTTATTTAAAAAGCAATCTGTTTTAGTGTAAATGACTTCTCATCAAAAGTCACTTGGAAGGAAGCTGTAGTTTTGAACCACAGGGTACCTACAGTAATTGCTTCCGGAGACACTGCAAGCATGACAAATATTTTCAGTTGTCAAGGGTGAGCCAGGAGGGAATGACCCACCTAAGAAATGGAAACTAACAAATAGAAACATGACACTTCTCCTTCCAGCCGCGGGAGCTGCTAACCGCAGCTAACTTCTAAGTCGGGTCCAGGCAGGCCATGCAAAAGCTAAGAAAGGCGGGTACTTGGTGGAGGGTGGCATGCAGGGACCTCAGGGCAAGAGGACACGGGCACTATCTCTACTGTGGCTTGCATTCATTCATTCGATGACCCTATGCGCCAGGCACTGTGTTAGGGACTTTCCCCTTCATTGCACCCGCATGGATGTCAGCCCTAGGCTTCTACCTTCTCAGCAAGAAGCTGCTTATTACAGACTTGCTGTTCCTCCCTCCCCAAGCCCCTAGGCCAGGGTGACAGCCTGGAGCGGGCCAGAGCAACGCCCTGGCAACAGCCAGGAACGGAGCCCGGTGCATCAGGGGTCGGATTCGGGGATCTGCCCGCGTGGGGACATGCATTTGCTTTGCATGCGAGGTGAGGGTTCCCCGCACCGCGCTCCTCGCCGGCCCCTCGGATCTGGCCGATCCTAAAGGAAGCTCCTGCGAGAGGGAAGAGGCCACGTAGGCTGGTGACCACGCGCACCCGTGGGGAGGCGCCGCCCAGGTGGCTGGCGCGGGTTACCTGATGAAGGTGGTCTTGCCGGTGCTGTACTGGCCCACCAGCAGGATCATGGGCTTGTTCTCGAAGTCGGCGTCCTCCAGCGCGGGCGAGTGGAACTCGTGGAAGCGGTACGCCTCCTCCAGCGGCAGCACCTTGCGCAGGTAGAGCGAGCGCAGGCCGCCCGTCACCGTCTGCACGGCGTCCGCGCCCCCCGCGCGCTCGCGCCCGCCCGCCTGCCGCCCCATCCAGCTGAACATCCTGCCGTCAGTGGTCGCTCGGCGTCGCGACCCCGCTCCGGGCTCGACCCTTCCTTCTCCGCTCGCACTGAGCGGCCCCAAGCCCCGCTCGCCGCCGCCCGAACTCGGCCCCGCCTCGCACCGCCACAGCCAATCACCGGCCGCTACGTCACGGGCGTGCGGTCATTATTCAGAAAAACTCCATCAGGTCCTTCCTCATTGGGCCTCTGCCAGCGAGGGGTGGAGGCATCCGCCAATAGAAAAGAGGCTCTTAATGAATTATTGATGACGGAGTTGGTCTAGAGGGCTGGGCGGGGAAAGGGTGTTGCCCGGGTCGGGTGGCTCGGACTGCGTCATCCTCAAGGCCTCCTTCTGGTGACCCTGGCCCCACCTCTGGCCAGGTGGCATCAGCTTCCGGGCAGATCTGAGCTGGCAATGAAAGAGCTTCCTGAGGTTGCCCGGTCTCTGGGAACTCTTGGATGTACTCATCCCTAGCCTTGGGATGTCGTACTGGGGATGGAAAAAATTCAGAAAGTTGACAGACAGGTTCTTTCTCCCTGTTGACAGGTTATTATTGCCCCATTTTACTGGCGGAGAAACCTAGAATCATCCATATAATGGACAGAAGTCGAAGGAGAGGAAGGGGGGCTCCAATCTATTGGATAGAATTTCTCCTAAATTCTGAATCAATTGAAGACCCTTTCCCTCTTGGTTTTCTTTATTTGGTTGTCTATAATACTGAAGATTTAGTCATCACCCTCATAGTATTATTATCAGTATTTCAACCTAGATTACAATTTTTACATTTTTTGTGGTTTGTAGAAACGGACGCATAAGAGAGTTCATTGTCACCTCCTAGCTGTCTGGGTCAAAAGAACACTCACCTAAGTAAGTAGAAACGGTCATCATCTGTGGTGTCTTAGGTTAGAGTTTTAGAATATTTCAGTTGTTTTGGACAGCGTTCAGTGTGGTCTTATGTAGGCCAGCTGCGTGAGGATCACCTGAGACTGGTTAGAATGCAGGTTCCTGGTCCCCATGCACGACCTACTGGGTTAAAGGATTGAGGAGAGATGGAGAGGTGAGTGCCTGGATGATCCTTGTGTGCTCTCAATTTGGGGAAATAGGATGCCCCAGGTTACTTTTGAACTTGATAGAAATGCAGGTTCTGGCTGGGCAGGCCTGGGGGACATGTAAGATTGCTTTTCTAACAAACTCCCACCCCTCCAGGGCTGCAAAAGGTGTTTACAGCAACTTTATTCACAATTGCCAAAACTTGGAAGCAACCAAGATGTCTTTCAGTAGGTAATGGCTAAATTAAGTGTGGTATATCCAGAAGAAAAGCTACTGGGGCTAGTAAATGAATTTAGCAAGGTTTTGGGGTACAAGAACCAGCTAGTATGTATATTTCTATATATTAGAAATGAGCCATTGAACATGTGAGGAGTGAATATGAAATGCTTAGGAATCAGTCTAATAAAAACACACCTGATCCATACACTGAAAAACCACAAAACATTGCTGAAAGAATGAAGGTCTACACATATATATTATATATATCTTACTCATGGATCAAAAGACTCAGTATTGTTACATGGCAGTTTTCCCAAATTTATGCATAGTTTCAGTGTTCTCTTAAAACCCCAGTAGGCTTTTATTTTAGTAGAAATTGAGAAAATAATTCTAAATTTCCTATGTAAATACAAAGAACCTGTAAGAGGCACTCAAATTGCTTTGGCTGAAAAGTACTGACTCCTTACTTTGGGCCCACAAATTAACTAAAAACAGGAGAAGCTTGACATCCCTGCCTCCATTTTGTATCTGTCTTTACTCTAAGCCATTCTCTTTGCAGTCAAATTGTGATCACCTTGGATTCCAGAAAGGACAGGACTGATAACAGCTTTATAACAATGGACTGAAACTTCCTCTAAGGAACAGTGGAATGTGCAGGACGGAGGCCCTCCAAATGAGGACAAGTACCTGTAATGATAAGGCTTCACCCTGGAGCAGGAGTAATCATCTCATGGGAATCAGATTGCTCCCATCAAGGGATGACAGTGATAACATCTCCGGAACCCCTCCGGGAACCCTTGGACTGTGATAATGGTCAACCAGAACACACCTGTGACTGGGACTGTTTAACTGTGCATACCTTCTGTCCTCTGCCCCCAGTTCTTTGTGTGTTTGAACCTACAGCTCATGTCTGTACCCTGAAGATGGTTGAAGATGGGCTGAGTGCTTACTCTGTCTCTTCTGCGGCATGTCCCCGAGCTGTGTAATAAATTTCTTTTCTCTGCCTTCACCATGCTTCTTTATTTGGTGTTTATGGCCGGTGGCTAGACCTAGCAAATGGAATCTCAGCCATTTGGGCCTGGGGTCCAAAACTCTGGTTTCAGCTCTGGAGAGCCAAAACAATTTGAAAAATAACAAAATTGGAGCTCCTACACTACCTAATTTCAAGACATTATAAAACTACAGAAATCAAGACAGTGTGGTATTTACTGATGTAAAGGTAACTTAGTATGCACCAATAATGACATTTGAGTCAACAGCAGGCCACGCATACAATGGTGCTCCCTTAAGATTAAATTGACCAGTGACAGCTGAGCCATTTGAACATGCGTACACTCTCTCTCATGCTCACACAATACCTAACAGTGCATTCCTTGAAATCTACCTTCGTTACTGAGTGTCGCATGGCTGTCGAGTTCGCATGCATTGTATGTCGATTGACTTTTGACAGTGAAGGGACAATACAGTGGATAGAAGAAAGTCTTTTTAACAGATCGAGGTGGCAGGGCTGGGGGTGTAGCTTAGTGGTTGAGTACATCCTGAGTACCTGAATATGTGTGAGGACCTGGGTTCCACCCCAGCACCAAACAACTCCAACAGCAACAACAGAAAACCCCTCGTGGTACTAGAACAATAGAATAGGTGCCTGCAAAAATGGGAATTTTGATCCATCCCTCACACCGTATGTAAAATTTTAACTCAAAATGGATTCCAGAGTAAAATGTAAAACTTAAAAACGATTAAACTTCTCTAAGAAAACAGAAAATTGTGTGACTTTGAGTTAGGGAAACATTTTAGATCACACCAAAAGCACAATACATTAGAAATAAAAGATTGATAAATGTGACTTGATCAAAGTTAGCAACTTCTGATCTATGACCTGTGAAGGAACTTTAAGAGAGTGAGGCGAGAGGCTGCAGACACAGAGACCATATTTGCTCATCACACATATGGAAAAAGACTAGTATTCAGACTCTCTAGACCTCTTACAACTTGTGGAAAAAATACTTCACAAAAGGAGAGCTATGGACGGCAAACGAGCACATGCGAGGACATTTGACATCACTGCTCATTAGGAAATGCAAATGAAAACCACCACGAAGTCCCACTATGTCCCCAGCGGATTGCCTGCAATTCAGAAGACTGACCATCCAAATGTTGGCGAGCAGCTGTCTTCCACTATCAGCGGGAATGTGACATCACACAGCCACTTTGGCAAAACAGTTTGGCAGTTTCTTAAAAAGTTAAACAGGTGTGCCACCTGCCGCAGCAGAGGAGGAGCAGAGGGGAGAAGGACAAAGGGCAGGAGGAAGCTTTTGGCTTGAAGGACGTGTTCGTGACCTTGATTGTGATGGAGACTTCACAATTGGATACTGTGTCATGATTCATCAAACTATGCTTTAAATGCGACAGCTGATTTGGCGGTTGTACCTTTAAGTCATTTATAAGTCATTAAAATGCTCACACTTTCTTGTTTCTTTTAATATTCATATGGATACAATGAATGGTGACTGAAGTTACCATCTAAATTACTCTCTTAAGTGCCCTTTCTTCTCCCCGCTCCTTTTTAACAACTTTTGGTGGGTTTCACCACCCTATTTTCATACACACATAATGTACTTCTATAATATTCACCTCCATCACCCTCTTCTTCCCTCCCCCCCACCCCCTCCGGTCCTCCCCAAACAGACCCCTTTTACAAACACATCACATTATTTTTTTAGGTTTAGATTCTGCATATAAATGAAGACATACCATGTATGTCTTTCTGAGCTTGGCTTATCTTGGTTCACATAATAACCTCCAGTTCCATCCATTTTTCTGTAAATAACATCATCTCATTCTTCTTTATGGCTGAATACTACTCCATTGTATATACATGCTACATTTTCTTTCCAGTCACCAGTTGTTGGTCACCTAAGCTGGTTCCATATCTTAGCCATTGTGAATAGGGCTACTATAAAATGAGTGTGCAGGTGTCTCTCTTGTATGTTGATTTATGTTTCTTTGGATATATTCCCAGGAGTGGTTCAGCACTACTTTCAGTTTCTTGAGGAACCTCCATAGTGCTTTCCACAGTGGATGGAGTAATTTACATTCCCATCAATGGTGTACCAGTGCTCCTTTATCCCCTGCATCCTCTCCAGCAAAAAAAAAAAAAAAAAAAAAAGCTTAGACCTTTTGACTCAGGAATTTAATCCTGAGAAAATTATCCTGAGAATTTATTCCAAGGAAATAATGAATGTAAAGCTTTATTTAAGAGTATGTTTATGAGCATATCATTTATAATACCAAAAAGCTATAACTAGCTGTCGCCCCATGGAGGATTGGGTAAGCAAATGATGGATTCCTATGCAGTCACTGAAAATTGTGTCACATAAGAAGAACGTTAATAACCTGCAAAATTGTTCACAATGTATTTTTAAGTGGAAAAAAGCTACATTACAAAAGCAAAAGTATAAACAATTAGTTTAGAAAGCATAGCTTCCTGATGACCCCCTCCTGAGAAGCTGGGATTATAGACGTGAGTCACTGCACTGGAGGATTGTCTTTAATTCTTAAAAAAAAAAAAAAAAGAAAAGAAAAAGGAAAGTCCTAAAGCACCTGCCCTGAGGAGGCACCCATCATATCTGCCTTTCCTTCTTTCCTCTACTTCCTGCCGCTGCTCCAGAAACTTTCTTGTTCTAGTTCTCTCCTTGGTGGAGAGGGCGACAGTCTGATCCTCCCATGTCGTTTTACATCCATCAGCAAATTGCGATACTCTTTCTTCCAATGTAACAATTACAATTCCTCTGAAGCCAGTTCATTTTTCAGGTTAGTCCTTTTACAGGCAGGATTTTGCTTGTTTGTTTGAGACCGCCTTTCTTTTAAGTTCCAAGCTTGAACTCAGGATCCTCCTGCCTCCGGAGTGCTGAGATTACAGATGTGAACAACCACACCTGGCTATTACAGGCAGTTTTATAGGGAGTGCCATTAGTTTCCTAGAAACCTGTTGTGTTAAGTAATTGTGGAAATAAATATTCAGTAATAGTCTTGTGGCGCTCTTTGCTATAGGGGAGTTTTATTGTAATTCTCGTGCAAGGTTTTGGTTCCCTCTTGGTAATGTGATGGCCATGTGGTTTGTACTAGATTATATTCAATTCAAGATGCCAACCAAATTCAGCACCTTACTCTGAAAATGACATTGCAGAACGATGGGGGCCTGGGAGAGGGGAGGGGACACTTGGGCCTGCGGAGAAGAACGCTCCACTCCACTCTCATACACCGATCTCCTTTCTCTGAGGCCGCCTGCCTGAGTCACTGTGACCACGCAGAGGTGTAGATTGTAGGACACGCAGGTGGGACACACTGGTGGAAGTGTCCAGCAGGAACTTGGAGCAAGTCTGCAAATTGTCCTCCAGTAGCAGAATTCTGACTTTCTACCTAGGCACATTGCCACCCGGATGAAAAACAAAATTTCCCAGACTCCCTGCAGGTACGTGTCTTTGAGACCGAGTTCTGATTGATATTATGTCAGCTGAAAGATGTGTGGCACTTCCAGGAAGTCTTAACAGGGGGGAATTCAATCTCTTTTTCTCCTTCTTTTTCATAACGTGGAATGTAGATGTGATAGCTGGAGTTGCAGAGCTCATTCTGGACCATGAGGCCAAGAACCATACACAGATGGTTCATACATTATGGTATAGCAAAGAGCTAGAAGGAAAGAGTTCCCTAGTGAATGCAAAATGGCCTTGGGACTGACTCCATGCGGACTTTTTTATATGAGGCATTTAAACTGCCATTTTTTCAGAGATGAAAAATGAACAACTTGTTGCTAGAAATAGAGTCTGTTGTAAAAGAACCTAGAAGTTGACATCCACTTAGTGGATGGAGGGGTGGTCAATTTTAAGGATGCAGGCATTGCAGGCTGGGATTTAAAACATAGCCACACAGTTTTTGCTATGCTTCTCATCCGGAGGGGAGTTCTTGAATCTGGGCTGGCTTGTGACTGCTGCCACCAATAAATGACTGGAAATATGGTGCTGGGACTTCTGAGGCCAAGTCACAAGGGGTCACGCTGCTACCACTGGGTAACACTCACCCAGTGAGTGAGCCTGAGAACCCTGAAGGCTGACCATGCAGGGCCACAGGAGGCCACATGAAGGGCTCTGGTGACAGCCCTTTTGAACCCGCCTGTCCTTCCTGGACTCCCCAGCCCAGGACTCAGGCATGTGAGGGAAAGGGTCATAGCCCTGACTGAACCCAGCCATTGGAGTTCCCCCTCAGTGGCACAAGGCATTTGAGCTGAGTCCCAAACATGGAGCAAAGAAAATTCCTGGGCCACGGAATCTGTGGGCCGAAGAAAACAGTGGCTATTTCCTGCCCTTGTCCTTTAGCAATGGAGAGCTAGAGTGGCAGGCAGTTCTCACCATCTTTAGATAAAATTTCAGTTCTCAATGCAGAAACTTTAAAGCGACAGAGGCCAATAGGAGAAGGGGACCAGGAACTAGGGAAAAGGTTAGTTCGAGAAGAATTAACTTAGAAGGTAACACACATGTACAGGAAATCAATGCGAGTCAACTCCCTGTATAGCTATCCTTATCTCAACTAGCAAAAACCCTTGTTCCTTCCTATTATTGCTTATACTCTCTCTTCAACAAAACTAGAGATAAGGGCAAAATAGTTTCTGCCAGGTAGCGAGGGGTAAGGGGGGGTAAGGGAGGGGACGGGGGGAAGGAGGGAGAAATGACCCAAACATTGTATGCACATATGAATAAAAGAAAAAAAAAAGTTCAGTTCTCTTTCATCTAGAAACAGACAGTCCAGGCCTGGTTAGTGACTTCATAGTCAGCAAGAACTGAGACTCTGTTGTCCTCCCTGTTGCTTAGAATGCAGACATAACAGGTAGAGCTGCAGCAGTGATGCTGGGTCAGAAGGCAATCTTTTTTTTTTTTTTTAATGCGATACTGGAGTTTGAACTCAGGGCCTACACCTTGAGCCACTCCACCAGCCTTTTTTTGTGATTTGTGATGGCATTTTTAGAGATAGGGTCTCACTGACTTTGAACCATGATCCTCCTGATCTCTGCCGCCTGAATAGTTAGGATTACAGGCGTGAGCCATGGGCGCCCGGCAGAAGGCAATCTTATGGCAGAAGATTGCTGAAAGGAGCCTGGATCTCTTATAAGAAAGAGAGAAATAAATTTCTCTTTTAAGCCATTGTCGTGTAAATCTTCCAGTTTTATAGTGAAAAGAGTGCTAGCGGGGACAAATTTGAATACATGACTTTACAATGGTGGCTTGGCTAGAGCTAAGAATTTGAGAGTTTTCAGAATAGAAGTACTGGTTGAAGTCCTAGTATAAAGGAGACAGTGAAGGAGAGTCTAGAGTGAGAACCTCATGGAATACCAGCTAAAGCGGGGGAGTGTTGGTGAGGAAGGAGCGCCCCACTTTTAGGGGCAGAAATCAGTGTGGCCTTTTCCCCCGGGGTGGCTTGGGAGCCTTGTGCCCTGAGCACAGCTCACACGAGCGCCTGCTCCGCATGAAGGGGGCTCCCACATGAGACAGAAAGAAGCTCCTTGGAGTTCACGTCACTCGTTAATCCTTTTCAATATCTCAGCACCTGCAGCGGTGACTGGGGACCAGCTTGCAAGTTCAACTGGATTGAGCTGCCTTGGCAAGGAAGTCACGGGAAGGGAGGGTTTCGGGGAGCTGGGAATGGTCTGCGGTGCTGAATGCCAAACGAGAAGGCCTGTGAGGGGCTGTGGCCGGGGTACTGACTGCTCTCTTGGGAAGGAAAGGGGGTGACAAGAAAGGGGGTGCTCGGGAGGGAGGTATGCTTCTAAGCAGAGGGCTGGGGACCTGACTTGTGCAGGATGGTGGACTTGCCCTTGTCAGAGTTGACCACCTTGTGGTCATTTCAATAACTAAGTCACTCTTTAATCTCTCAAGTATGTGTTAAAATCTTTCCATGGTCCCCACTTGCCACCCCAGCCAAAACCTAAGTCTCAGGGAAGCAGAAACTGTCCAGCTGCTGGGCACGAAGCAGGTGCCCCATGGACGCCCCTGTAAACTGCTGGCCTAAAGGAGCCTGGTCACCCTGAGTTGGCTCCACTCGTTCATATTATGAACTTCATAAAAGCAGAGGAGGACTCGCCCCAAGAAGCAGGGACCTTGCAATGGGGGTGAAACAAAGCCAGCTGAGGCCTGGGATGGAACCGGCCTACTCCTACCTCCAGCGGCTGCAAGTGGGAACCTGGGGGAGGAACGGATCGTGGAGGCCAGGGCAGGGGTGAGGACAGGTTTCCTGCACATTTTGCAGTATCAGATAATGAAAGCAGTGACAATATTTACCCACATGGCCACTTTATTCAGGGCTCAATACAGCGACCTTATAAACTTCATTTTACATGTGCCAATGAATCCAGGGCATGAATTCAGGTCTAGCACTTGGCTTTTCCTGTTCTAAAGAGCCCGTTCCCTGCAGTTGGAAGGGAAAAGTGGTGACATTTCAGATTAGTGCCAACTGGGTGGGGACCAGTTTTGTAGGTGAGCCACTGTACCTCTCTCCTGTAATTTTGGAAAGCATGAATCCATGAACCCATGGTCTCCCTGGAGCCACAGGGGAGACGGACAAATCCCCTCCCTGCAAATTTTAACAGGCACAAGAATTACCTGGGCATAGGGCAGGGTGGGAGAGGAGGCCTGTGTCTCCTTACAACACAGGTTCCATTCAGTGTGGCTCCCTGCTATACCCTGAGGGGCAAGGACAGAAACAGGAACCCACTCTTCTAAGCCTTGGGCACCTGTCACCATTTGTCTTTCAACATTCACCTGTTTTTAGAAAGAGGGCTGCACATTGCTTATCTCCTGGGCTCTGCCTGGACCCCACGCCTTTCACCTTCTTTCAACTTGGGTATTTCAGTAGTTTCCATTATGTTGATCTTCACAGAAGTCCCCAGCCTGCAGGGAGACTTCTCTGAGTTCCTGGGCTCCCCCAGAGATGTGTTCCTTCTCAGAGCACTCACCTTGACTTTCTCAGTCCATCTTTCCTAGCTTCATTCTGAGTCACTGTATGACAGCAGGGATGTACTGGCCATTGTTTACATTCAAATAAGAGGAATCACACTTAGAAATAAATAACCCCACTGGAAGCCAGAGAGACAGGGCGATGAGGCAGCTGATAGGCGCTGCTGGGGCAGATATGTCATGAGCAATGGTGACACTGGAAAGCATGACCACTTGGCGCTATTCCCTGTGGCTCATCCCAACCTCCCTGACTGACTGCATCCCAGATCCTGCATGTGAGCCGGAGCTGCAGACTTGACTTTCCCTGGCACTTCACTGGCGCTGGGTACCTCGACCTGAGCCTGGAAAAGATGGCATACATCAGCAGCCCAGGACTCTGAGTAGATCAGGAGCATTGACATGGTTACCTGTTTGGCTTTGTTTGACAGATCCAGGATGTCTCTAGCACCCCATCTTGCTCTTCTGGCATTGGGCTTCCTAATTAATACCACATTCATAAAGTAAAAATCACAGCTTATTATCAATGACAAAAAGCCTAAGAATACAATTACCCTAAATTTTAAAAAGTGTGTGTATTTTTTTTCCCCAGCAAAATCCAGTGTTTCTCAGTCCTCCTGTGCGGTCCCCTAGGACAGCCACAGGAGGCGGAAGAGGAGGTAGTGGGGAGAGCTGGGGACCTGTGCTTTGAGCTCTGAGTCTGAGGTCTCTTGGGAACCGACTACTTTCTCAGACACACTTTCTCTCTCCATGCCTGAGGTATGTGTGGGAACCGGTGGTCATCAGACCCCCTTCCCTGCTGGGAAGCAGTGAAGGAAATTCCAGTCATCTTTAGATACCACACACCCCTTGTAATTTCCCTTTGTCTCTCTCCCTTTTTTAAACTTTAACTTTTTGCTAGAAAGCCCAGGCCAGCCTGCCTGAACCCTGGCCAGAGAGCAGGGCCAGCCTTCGAGGGCCATGCCTCTGACAGCAGAAGCAGACACAATCCCATAGGACTTCCTGGGACCTAGGAAGGACACTGGCTCTTCTGGCGTTTCTTCTTCTCCACGGCAAGGCGCAGGGCCTGCAGGAGTGTGTCTTTGTTATTCACGATGTTATACTCTGAGAGTTTCACCAGCTTGTCAAAGGCAGCCTCCGTGTAGGTCAGCTCCTTGGTGGCGTAGGGAGATTTCGGGCCATAAATGTCCAGCTGGCCCAGTTCCAGCTCCTCAGGGCTCCGCTCCACACCTGGAGAGAGCAGAAGGACGTTCTGAGACCCTTGTTGTGTTAGGTGGGAAGGACTCACTTCCATGTCTCTCCACCCGGCTCACCCCCCACACTTGCATGAAAATGGGCACGTGTGCTGGACATGGTGCAGCATGCCTGTAATCCCAGCACTTGGGAGGCTGAGGCAGGAGGACTGTGAGTTCCAGGCCAGACTGGGCTACATAGCAAATTTCTGTCTCAAAGAATGGAAAGAGAGATAGGGGGAGGGAAGGAAGGAGGGAGGGAGAGAGAGAGAGAAGGAAAGAGAAAAGGAAGGGAAGGGAAGGGAAAGATGCAGAGGCGCACCTGCCCCCCCACAAGCTCCCCAGAGCAAGGGCACAGCTTACACATTTTAGGACTCCTCTAACTCCCAACGGTGCCAGGCACATAGTTGGGTGTCAATAAATGTGGCTGGGTATGGTGGCTCACATCTGTAATCCCAACTACACAGGAAGCATAGGTAGGAGGATTGAGGTTCCCATCAGCTCCAGGCAAAAGCCTAAAGACCCTATCTGAAAAGCAACTAAAGCAAAAAGATCTGGCGGCATGACTCAAGGGGTAGAGCACTTCCCTAGCAAGTGCAAGGCCCTGAGTTCAACTCCCCCCCACCAAAAAAATAAGTGTAAAATGACTAAAAGACTAGGACATGAGATTGCCAGTTTAAAGGCTGGGCTGGAAGGGGACCTCTATTTTCTTCCTAGCTGAAGCCAAGGTTGGGTCAGACTAGAACTAAGCCAGGCCTCTCCATTAGTGCTCTCAGAAGCTTCCAGAAGTCTAATGACAGCAGCTATCAGTCGGAGGCCAGCGGGTGCTAGAAACTGTGCAAAGGCAACTTACCTGGTGCCTTGTATTTTTGGAAGGTGTCATTGATGAGTGGGAAAAAAGCCACAATGGGAGCGTCAGGCTCCTGGGGCTGCTCCATCAGGTAGCACTCCTTGAGATATTTGTCCTCATGCTGGAAGTCGTAGCTTGGAAAGGGGATGTTTTGCACCGTGCAGTATTCACAGGTCTGTTTCAGGGGCTGCAGCATCACGGGAGGACATGTGTAACTACTGGAGGGTTGTGGGTGGCGAATTCACACAAAGGTCTTGGATCCAGCTTCCTGACTTCCTCAGCTAACAAATCTGGTCCCCAACTAATTTGTAGTATTTTTTTTTTAAAGCCAGATCAGGGCAAAAGGTCAAGGCAGGAGGCTGGTGCATGTCCACGTGCAAGTTTCTTTCCCAAATGAGAGTGCAGAGGCTCTGACACAGAGTTGGGCAGATGTGGGTGGCAGCAATGTGGGAGGGTAGCAATGACTGGAGCTGGCCAATTACCGCCATGGCTGGCCAGGCTCCTGAGGACAAGCATGGAATTGGTGATTGACAGCATCACAGGATTGGATTAAAAAGTGTCTTTAAAATGTGATGTAGCAGAAAGAGCACTGGGCTCAAAGTGTCAGAATCCTCTTACTGCTGTACCTGTCCCATGGCTCACTTGCCATGTGACCTTAAGTTAGCCAGTTACCTGCCCTTTCCTTGGTTTCCTTCTTTGTGACATGGGGACAATAGCAACTGTGCCATCTGCCTCAAAAGCTGGTGTGTGGACCAGGTAAGATCATGTGTAGGAAGGACACTTACTTATGAACTTAAGCCACTTGAGGTACACTGAGCTGTCTCAGAGCCTGCTGGCAGTGCACATTCTCCCATGTCACAGCCACCAGGGCCTCTGAGGCCATGGCACTGATTCCGTGACCCTCGGGAGTGGCTACATGCAGGCTCAGGGTGAGCCTCAGTGCTGTACTTGCCTTTGTCTGGGACCCAGCGCTGTAACCGAGGTGGATAATGAGGTCGGCCTTTCTCTCTGACCTGAGCAGAGGTGCATAGCTGGAGTTGACGAAGAATGCAGTGTCCAGCAGACACAAGTGTTTGGAAAACTCTGTCAGCTGGTTTGGGAAGTTGTCCAGCACTGTGTCTGAAAGCCAAGTCTTCCAGTTACCAACACGCCTGGAGTCCTGGTGTCAATAGGTGGAGGCACCTGGTGGGGACGGAGTGCCCCACCTGGAGCTTCCTTCCCACAGCCTGGGCCTCCAGACTTCCTCCTCTGGCCAGGAGACCCACAGCTCCTCTGAGTGGGCTGATCTTGGGATTAAACCCCAAGTCTTTAGCTTGTGACATAGCAGGGGCTTAAGACCACTTTATAAGTTAGGATTATTCCTGGGCCCAGAATCAGCTTCGTCCTCTGCCCCAGATGGTGAGGACGAGGATAATAGGCCCACTATTGCAGGTTGTGGCCAAATAAAATAGCAAAGAAGGTGGAAAGTCAGCCTCAGAGCCTTAGCAAGAGGAGGCACTGAGTTCAAGCTATAAGACAGCAGTTTAAGACTGTGACTCACCCCAAAGGGGTTGGTGAGGCTAAGTTGGGCCATTGCCACCCAACTGCAATGGGGCACCACTCACATTAAAAGGTGCCCCCAGAACCCAGCTGCAGAAAGTAAGGGCCTAGGCTCCCCATTTGTACAATGGGGTGCTCACAGCACCCCCTACTGGCAACACCCACACTCTGTCCAAGGTGACACCAGCAGGTGGACAGAGCCTTGGGGGTAAGCCGTATTCTACCCAATGAATGTGGCCAAAGGAGTCTTCTCGTTCTTTCTCCCTGGCAGCCTTGTCTTCCACTTCCTCCTCCTCCCCACAGAGCCAATCCTAGAGGAGCCCCCTCCCCCAAGGGTGGGGTACCTTTCCACACGGAGAACTGGCTATTCTGGAGGTAGTCAGTGTGCAACTGCAGCCCGGACAGGAAGTTGTGGAACTCAGACACGAAGGGCCGATGTGTGAGGATGTCCCGGAAAGCATTGGACAGCCATGACCCCGGAATCACTACTGTGGTCTCCAGGGTGTTGGCATCACACTTAGGGATTTCTGGTAGGAGTGGTTCATCCTCTATGGAGAAGAGGGGACGGAGGGCAGGCCATAAGAGTTGGGCCACTCACCTGCACACCCATGTTTATTGCGGCACTATTCACAATAGCCAAGTTATGGAAACAGCCAAGATGCCCCAGCACTGACGAATGGATTAAGAAAATGTGGTATCTATAGACAATGGAATTTTATGCAGCCATGAAGAAGAACGAAATGTTATCATTCGCTGGTAAATGGATGGAATTGGAGAACATCATTCTGAGTGAGGTTAGCCTGGCCCAAAAGACCAAAAATCGTATGTTCTCCCTCATATGTGGACATTAGATCAAGGGCAAACACAACAATGGGATTGGACTTTGAGCACATGATAAAAGCAAGAGCACACAAGGGAGGGGTAAGGATAGGTAAGACACCTAAAAAACTAGCTAGCATTTGTTGCCCTTAACGCAGAGAAACTAAAGCAGATACCTTAAAAGCAACTGAGGCCAATAGGAGAAGGGGACCAGGAACTAGCGAAAAGGTTAGATCAAAAAGAATTAACCTAGAAGGTAACACCCACGCACAGGAAATCAATGTGAGTCAACTCCCTGTATAGCTATCCTTATCTCAACCAGCAAAAACCCTTGTTCCTTCCTATTATTCCTTATACTCTCTCTTCAACAAAATTAGAAATAAGGGCAAAATAGTTTCTGTTGGGTATTGAGGCGGGGGAAGAGGGAGGGGGTGGAGTGGGCGGTAAGGGAGGGGGTGGGAGCAGGGGGGAGAAATGACCCAAGCCTTGTATGCACATATGAATAATAAAATTAAAAAAAAAAGAGTTGGGCCACTGTAAATGCAGCTCACACCTTCCTTGCCTGGCCCTGAAGCAAAGAGGACCCAGGTGAGAGGCAGAGGACAGAGGTGCAGGAGAGGTAGCTTTCACTGTGTTCACAGACTCCTACCCTCATCACCTCTCCGGGGCACCAGAGGGGGTTCTTCTGGGCCTTGGTACAGGGGTCACCTATAATCCCCTTGCCCTCCAGGCAGGGAAGATGCTCTAGCCCCACACACCTTCCCATGTTGGTGTGTCACAGGGGCAATGTGAAAACACGCAGCAGGAGGACAGTCCTCAGTTCATGATTCCCCCCATCACCCAACCATGAGGGAAAGGCAGTGGCTACCCACCGATGTCATGCAGCTTCTCCCTCGTCCACCTGTAGAAAAACTCCTCTGAGGTATGAGACAAATTCCAGGCATCCAGCAAGTTCAGGGAAAAGATGCTACTCCATAAACCTGAGGAAGTAGGGCCACCGTGAGCAGCTGTCCCCACGAGCCCTGGGCCCTCCCAAGTCTGACTGGTTCTGCCTTGGCCTCAATGCCCCCTCCAGGACAGGCTGCTCAGGGAGACTTGGATTTCCCTCTCCCTTGGGGCATCTCCACACAGTGACTGATGGTGCCAGCCCTCAGCTCTTCTTCCTTCCCTCAGAGTAGAAGCAGGTGATGCTGACAAGTGCAGGCTCTGAGTTCAAGTTCAGCTCCATCCCTTACATCAGTTCATATAGCTAAAGTGTTTGGTATACAGAGCCTTGCATAGGTAAGCATATATATTATTATATATTATTTTTAAAATGTAGTATTAATAATAGTACTGGTTACATTTCTCACATACATTGACCTATTGGGGTCCTCTACAAGGTAAGTTTTACTGTAAGCCCAATTTACAGGTGAGAAAACCAAGGTACAGAGAGATTAGATAATGTAGCCAACTTTACACAGCTAATAAATAAAGAACCAGAGTTCAAGTCTCTGTTTTGTTTTGTTTTTGCAGTACTGGGGTTTGAATTCAGAGCCTACCCCTTAAGCCACTCCACCAGCCCTTTTTTGTAATGGGTTTTTTTCAAGATAGGGTCTCGAGAACTACCTGCCCAGGCTGGCTTTGAACCGTGATCCTCCTGATCTCTGCCTCCTGAGTAGCCAGGATTACAGGCGTGAGCCACCAGTGCCTGCAAGTCTAAATGTTTTAACTACAGCTTTCAAAACCACATCCCCACCAACGTGAGTTCCATCTCAGCCTGAGATGCCTGGTCTGTTTCTGAGCCCATCCCTGGGAGACCAGGATGCTGAGAGAATCCCCTGTGAGCCTCAGTGACCCTCCTGGGACTAAATGGCTGCAGGAAGATTGGGGGAGTCCTGTCATCTGGAGGTAGGTTCCGGAGCCCGTCCTGGGCTAGGGATACTGGTACATATTCGGAAGGTCAAAGGCATGTTAGCTCAAGGGCGCAGCAAGGTAGTCCAGCAGCAGGACAAGATTCTCCTAATTCAATGGGTGCCCAGGGGAGTCCCCAGCCAGGACTCACCTAGCATGTAACACATCTGGGACTCAGGGAACCTCCTCATCAGCCGCCCCATGAAGAACTCAGAGCCAAAGAGCTCAGTGGGGACGAAGGCCCCGTACTTCTGCATGCCCACCTCGTAGGGGGAGAACTCGCACCACTCTGCGTGCAAAGCGACAGGGAGGTGTCATTCTCAGGCCAGGGAGCCACCCACACAGCCCCCTTCAGCCTCCCGGCCCTCCCTGGCTCCCCGGCCTGGGGGCGCTTCTCCCACTGGACATACGGGGGCGCCCGCGGCCGAGCAAAACAGCTTTGCAAGTTCTGGCTCATTTTGCAACTCCAAGCCATATAACTTGGACCAAAATGGACCTCGATGCAGGGTAGGTGTTCAGAGTCCTTCCCTTTAGGACTTCTTCCTTTTCTGATACTTATTTTTCCCGGTCCCATCAGATGCACCCTTGTAAGCTAAGGTACCCTTTTTTTTTTTGCATGATGGAGGTTGGCAGTGTTGGGGTGAGGGGGCTGGAGGGGCTGGGTGTCTGTGCCTGCCAACGAGGGCCCCCACCTACATCACTAGCCACCAGTGTTACCTCTGAAATCCTGGTTGCTTACATCATCCTTGACATTGATGGTGAGGTAGATAGGCAGGGGGTTCTGACCCCGGCACAAGGCGGCACGTTGCTCAGACAGTTTGCATTCAAATTTCTGTGGGGAGACCAGCGGTTAAGGAGAAGCAGCCGACAAGCAGTCCCAGAAGGCAGTGCAGGATGAGAGCACGATCTGGACCCTTGTCCACCATTTCTGGCTCCAGGGGTCACCAGGCTGCTGTGTAGACTACAGTGACACCAGTTGTCAGCTCTTAAATGTACCCAGAAAATGTACCCCACCTCCTTGGGCTATCCACCAGCCCAGATAATAGATGGGTGGTACTGAGTCTTCAGTTTAGGGCTGTCCCTCAGGGTCCCAGGGATCTCCTTGAATCTCCAGGACTAGGGGATGATGAGGTACGGATGGGAGAGGTCACCACTGTCCATCCTCACCCCGTTGTCTTCTACCTCACAGGAACCTGAACAGCTCCAGGTTTTTTTGTTTTGTTTTACTTTGTTGATCAACTTGGTATGTTAGGGTTCCTCATAAAATTTGGGAGGCAAGAAAGATTTCTTTCATGTGTTTTTGTTAAACACATTAGTCCAGCACTAGATGGTGGTTTAAGTCCTCCAAAGTCACCAGAGCACTGTGTTGTATCATGAATGGCAAGCCCCGCAGAGCAGCCTGGGCCACAGGCCACCTCCCAGAGTGTCAGCCAGTGTAGGTGGTGCAGAAATGATGTCCTAGAGGCCCCGGCTCTGTCCCCAGGCCAAGCAGCTGCCTGCTAGGTGACCATCTCTGGTTACCCTGTGCAAAGGTTCTGGACCCTGTGTGGGGTGGCAGACATGTGTGGGCTAGTGACACTTGTGTCTCCTTTGAAGGAAAACAGGGTGCCTGTCACAACTGGGCCCACAGATCTGGGCATCACAGAGCTGACTGCCCTGGAAGTAGAGCCACAGACTCAAGAGTCCGGAGCTCTTTTCTTCTTGTCATCCCCAAGGGGGCTGCAGAGAAAAGAGCTCTCACCCAAGTAGAAGAGCGAGGACTCCCAGCAGCACCCTACCTAGCCTTGCTTCACTGGGGACCCCAGCTCTTCTCCATACTAACCCCTCAAAATGCCCAGTCTTCTCACCTAGAAAGCTCTGGTCTTTCCTCGTTATCTCATGGGTTGCTAACAACTGTGAAAATATTAACTGCTGTTTACTGATGGACCTCCACGTAAGGAACAGTATGGAGCAGGACCAGAATTCCAACCCCATCCTACCTGAACCTGAAAGCCTGCGCTCTCAACCTCTGCCTGCCCTGCTTTATTACGAGGTCAGGTTATAGCAGGGGTTCCAAAGGGCAGGTGTGGTCTGAGTTGGAAGCTACATCTGATTCCCATCTGAAAATCCAGGGACCAGTACAGTTCCTGGCATGTAGGAGGTAACTAATTAACTTAGTTAAAAGAATGAACTTGCTGGTGTGGTGGCTCATGTCTATAATCCTAGCTACGCAGGAGGTGGAGATAAGGAGGATCACTGTTTGAGGCCAGTCTGGGCAAAAAGTTATTGAGACCCCATCTCAATAAACAAGGCAGATGTGGTGTGTGTCCCTGTCATTTTGGCTATCTGGGAGGCATAGGTGGGAGTCCAGGGCTGATCCTGGGCAAAAAGCATGAGACCCTCTCTGTAAAATAATGAAAGCAAAAACAGCTAGGGGATTGGTTCAAGTGATAGGAGGCCTGCCTAGCAAATGAGTTCAAACTCTGGTATGGCCAAAAAAAAAAAAAAAAAAAGGAAACAAGTGACTTAAAGATGAGAGCCTAGTCATCATTGGTTGCTCAAATTGCCTAATTTCTGAGACGTGGGTACCTATTGAAAATAATTTGCTTTCCCTCCTCCTTTGGACAATTCTGATTCAAATTCAGAGCTCCCAGACCCCTTTGGGAGTGGGGCCAAGAGCTGTGGGCCTGGACAGAGGTTAATGGAGGTGCTGTTGCGTTCACCCTGATGTCCAGGATCACAACATCTCTTGGGGGTTCCCCACTCCACCATCCTGACACAGGCTGGTTCCCTTCTTGGATGCATACGGCTGGGACCACTGGCTCCCATTCAGTGCAGGGAGGAACGTCACTTGGTCCACCCCCTGCATCATGGTCATGAGAACCAGCCCTGCAGACTCCAACCGCTGAGAGTGTTACTGATGCAGAGCCCCAGCCACTCTGAAACCCATGGCTGAATTTGTGCAGAGTTCACACTTCCCGTGATGGAGGGCAGCTGGGGGGATGTAAGGTGCCGTGTACAGCCAACCCTGGCTAAAGTCCTCTCTGAGGGCCTTGTGAATTCTTCCTGGAGCACATGGTAGTCTATGATGCTCCCACGGATGTCTCTTCCTCTACAGGTCAGACCTGCAGCATGGCTGACAGCTTCCCAGCCTTGCCCTACTTTCTCCCCACTTTCTCCCACAGGTATCTTGGCCTGGCCTATGGAAGGTAGGCCGCCTCTATGCAGGGGTCACCCAACCTGCCCCAACACAAGGGTCACAGTCATCCTCCAAAGAGTATGAGGGAAGGTGGCCCCTTCATCTTCCTCCAGTGTGCATTCTGCAGCCCAAGGATGCATCTGCAGGTCTAACCTAACCTCTGTGGCCATGGAAGTCCAGACTCCTGAGAGAGAGAGAGGGGGAGAGAGAGAGAGAGAGAGAGAGAGAGAGAGAGAGAGAGAGAGAGAGACAGAGAGAGACTACCTCATCCCCCAGGCAGGACTCGATGAGCAGGCCCCAGAAGTCTGTGAGGGTGACCTTGTAGCCTTCTTGGCTGCGTTGCCGGAGTTCCTCTCGGAATTTGCAGAGCTGGTCTGGGAATAGGGCAGGCATCTTGTCTTTGACCGCGTGTCTCCGGGCCTCAAAGATGGCAGGTTCCAGGTTTTTGGAGGACCACTCAGGGTCACTGTACAAAGTAGCCATGGTCCTGGAGAGAGACAGGCATGGCTGATAGAGCCTACCCTGCCCTCATCTGACCAACCCTGGATCCAGGTAGGCAGGTCAGGGAGAGTCCCAAATCTGTCAGAAGAGGAGCCTGGAGGACAGAGGTGAGGCAGGGGCCTGGTGATGGGAGGTGGGGGTAATAATTATGACTCCTACTTACAGTTGCTACTCTCTTTCCAGTGTGTACTGGGTGCCAGATATAGCCTATTGGTTGAGATGAGGAGTCTAAGTTCGAAGCCAGGTTCTGCTACTCCCTTACTGTGTGATCTTAAGTGAGCTACTTAAACACTCCTTACCTCGGTTTTCCTATCTGTGGAGTGGGGAGAATTAGGATCATGGTACCCAACTCACAAAGCTCATAAGTTACCTAAAGTGTTGGAATAGCGGCTGGAATGAAGCAAGCGCTAGGCTAACACTGAATCCAGGCTGGGCTGATTCTAGATCGCGAGCAGTTTTTGCTTGGCCATGTCCATTCCCAAAGTTATGATACTGGCCAGGGATCTATGTCCCCTTCTTCTTAGCTTTGTGTGGGTCATGGGGACAGCATACTAAGAAGGCAGGCCACCTAGCCCGGGTCTAGCCTCCATCTACCTCCTGTTGGCCTGGATCAGCTTTTCTAGGTCAGGGCAATGAGGTCTCTCTTTATTCTGCACCCCAGGACTGTCTCCTTGCAGTGGAACTGGCCTAAGGTTGCACAATTATACAAGCAGAAGCCTTCTTCCTGGGGCTTGTTCCAGAACTGGTCAGGTTTCTTTGACAAAAATCACCCTAAGGTTTGCTCTGGTATGTTCGTACTTTCAAAAAGCTTCTAGGACAGGCTCACCGACTCATGCCTGTAATCCCAGCTACATGGGAGGGAGAGATCAGGAGGACTGAGGTTTGAGGGCAGCATGGTCAAAAAAGTTAGCAGGTCTCAACGGCGTATACCTGTAATACAAGCTACATGGGAAGCATGGGTAGGAAGACTGCAGCCCACGGCTGGCCCTATCAGAAAAATAACTAAAACAAAACAAAAAAGGCTGGGGATATGATTCAAGCAGAAGAGCTCCTGCCTAGCAAGCACAAGGGGCCTGAGTTCAAACCCCAGTACTGCCTGCCTCCCCCTCCAAAAGCTTCCAAAATCCATCCCCAGTGCTTCTCTTAAAAAGAATACTTCCCCCGGCCAGGGCACCCTCCAGCCTCCACCCCTCACTCTAGCTGGGCCTGAGGTTCTCCCTGTTTCCTGCCCCACAGTAGTTCAGGGGGACATAAGCGTCCCTCAACCTACCAGAAGCAAGTTATCTTTTCAGCCTACTTCCTGGGAACAGCCATTTAACACAGGACTGGGAACATGGGCCCTGGACTGAGGTCAACTTCCAGATCTACCATCCATTAGCTGCGTGGACCTGGGCAAATCATTTTGTTTCTCCAGCTGTAAAATAACCCTGTGCAGATCACGGTGACCTCCCTCACCTATGAGTTCCGCATCTGCAGATCAAAACTATTGGTGGTGGGCTGGGGGAGAATTGTCTCTGTACTGAACCTACATAGCCTGCTTTTCTAGTCGTTATTCCCTAAATAAGACAGCATTACAACGATCTGCACAGCATTCACTCTGTATTAGGTATTGCAAGTAATCCAGAGATAATCGAAGTGGAGGGTATGTAGGTTATATGCAAACACCAGGGCATTTTGTAGAAGGGGTTTGAGTATCAGTAGATTTTAATTTCCTGGGGGCACCCCGCCCCTATCCCCTGAAACCAGTTCCCTTGGCTACTGAGAGAAAACATAGCAAAGAGGCAACACGGATAACTGTCATCCAAGCCTTCTATCCCATCCCAGCCTCTGACCGTGAGGTATAGTGACGGGAGCTCTTGGCTTTCCCAGGGCCAGCTCACATCCACGGGCTCCAATGAGGGCTGCTCAGAGCTCCCCCATGATAAATGGCACAGCAGGAGGTCTCCAGAGTCCCAGGACCCCAGTCCCTGACCCTCCTGTGGTCTCAGGTCTCCAACCATCCTGTAGTGGAGTCACATGCTGACTTTAGTGAGCCCCTTCCACTATAAAAAATATTAAAACCATGTTATGACTTTGTTGTAACTATATTAGTGGTGTGTATTAAAATATTTTCTTTAAACTAGAAGTTCATTTTTTTCCCTTGTGGTTTAAAAAAACCAAACAGACCCCTGACAGGACCGTGGGCCTTGGACACTGTGCCTCCTGTGAGGGAGCCGACCTCGCCTGGCTTCCTGTTGGGAGCCTTGTGCCCACTCCCTTTGTTCCCAACAGAGTAGGGAGGTGGGAGACCAACGGCAGGGCCCTGCCTGCTTCTCCTAGGCTATCTGAGGCAGCTTGGCAGAGCCAAGGCTGTGGGCAGGCATGGAGTCGGAGGTCTGCAGGTCCAGCAAGAGCACATGTCCCAAACCACCCAGCTGTGCGTGGCAGAGGTTTGCAGGCACCTCCAGTCACTTTTACTTGGGTTGAGAGGAAGCAGAATGTCACCAGAAACCCCAGGCCAAGCCCGTCTGCTGCTTGCACTGGGCTCTCCCAGGCAGTGGCTCCCAGATCCTTACCAGGTGGCCCCAGACAGGCCAGTGATGTAACTGGTACAGTTCAGGAGGTTCAGCCTCTGCAGCCCCAGCAGGTGGCCGTACATGGAGGTCATGGACCTTGCTCCGCCCCCGGTGGCCATGATGGCTATCAGTGGTACCTGGGACACAGAGGCAGACTGCTGGGGAGGACTCCACTGGCAAGGCCAGTTAGGAAAGGACTCAGAATGACAGCAGCTTAGAAAGAATGGTAGAGGAAGGAGAGATGGCTAGAGAGGAGGGAGGGAGGGGGGTGACAAGAAAATGGCCTTTCACAGAGCAGTGGGATACGTGGCAGGTCTAGAATCCAATGGAGGTGGTAGTAAAGGGCTCTGCTGCTCAGCACTCGGGAGGAACAGCTGGAGCCCTTCCTTCCCTCTGTCCTCTGCCCTTCCCTGCCCTGGGGAACACACAGGCAGGGCCCTCACCCTGACACTGGAACCTGAGAAGTTGGAGCAATCACAGAAGTGAGGTGGTCTTGGGGCTGCCCTGGGGCAGGGAAGAGCCGAGGTGGCTGGTAAGGACTGGGGTTGAAAGGACCAGCATGGCCCAGAGTGGCTCAGAGCCCAGGCCAGTGGCCCCATCTTACCCACCTCGTCCTCAGGCAGGTCCTCCTCCAGCTGTAGCACCTGCTTCAGCGCCTCGGCCACCACCAGCTTCCGCTTCTGCAGGAATTCCAGCTCTGCTGGGCACAGGCTGAAGCCTAGCCGCACGTCCAGCGTGTCGGGGCTGTGGAGAGAAGACCCTGGCTGAGCATGCCTGTAGTCTCCACCTTTGAGGGGCTGATGTGGTTCACAGGTCAGTTGGACCCAAGCTTGAAGCCCAGTTCTGCCGCACCATTTCCATGATCTTGGCCTCTGGAGTCTCATCTGTACAATGGGGCTTACCCCCCACCCCACCCCAGCACTGTCTCCAACACTTAATGAAATATTAAACACAGATACCCCAAGCCTTAGCTGGCATGCCGGAAGCTGGTACTTTACAAAAGACCACAGTTGGTACTTCCATTAGGGATTCTTTGAACCCTCTGCCTCCTCAGCAGGATCTGTAATGTTCAGAAAAGTTTCCCCAGGTGCCTCAATAGCCCAAAGCCAGATGTGGGTGACAAGAGGCCCTGAACAAGGCTCTACAGTAGGACCCTTTGGAGCTTCCTGTTCCTATGGAGCTGACCTTCTTACCAAGCATTCCTGCTCACAGAGTCATAACTTCCTGTGTGCTTGTGCATCTCACTGTATATCGTCCCCACAGATCTTCAAGGCAGGCCATGGCATGCTCAAGGCTCACCCTCTTTTTATCACATCCCTTTCCTGAGCAAGACCAGGCTCTTGGCCTAACATCCAACATCTTATCTGACCTGTCCTCAAGCTACGTGCTGGAAAGGCCCTACCAGGCTCTCAGGACCTGATTCCTGAGCCCTTGCCGTCACTGGAAGAATTCTTCCTTTGCCCACCTATATCCCTGCATCCTCTGAGCCCTGGCTCCTGGTGACAGGTCACCCTGACAGTGAGTATTCTGGTCTTCTTGAAGACAGGGCCTGGAAGTGTTCCCAGCACATCTCCTCATCTAGCACTGGCCCGCAGACACAGTTGCAAGGAAATAACTCTTTCTCTGGCCTCCACAAGGAATGAACAATAATCTAATAATCTGATAACAACAATGATAATGTTGCTTGATATTTTCTGACTCATTCACAGCTAGATTACTATACCACATCTGTACCATCTCCCTGGAACTGCACAGCAACCCAGTTTACAGATGAGGAACACTGTGATTTAGAGACATTAAATAACTTGTCCGAGGACAAATATCTAATCAAACTATAAGTAGATATTATAGTCACTCTATTTTTGGCACCCTATTTTTGCTAGGACAACTGGATAGTTATGTGCAAAAGAATAATGTTGGATCGTTACAGCATACTATAAACAAAACTAACTAAAAAAATCCATCATCATTCTAAATGTGAGATCTAAAACTATAAAACACATGGGAGTAAATACTCATGAGCTGAATTAGGCAGTGACTTCTCAGATAATGATACCAAAAACACAAGTGACTGAAGAGAAAATGACTTCATCCTAAAAATATGTAGAAAATGAAAAGACAACCCATGGATAGGTGCAAATATTTGCAACTCACGTAACTGATGAGACTTGTATCCACAATATACAAAGAACTTTTACAACTTAATAATAACAAGATGACCCACGTAAAACATGGGCAAAGAATTTGACTAGAAGATATCTTCTAAAGAGGACATGTAAATGGCCAGATAAGCCCGGGAAAGATGCTAACATCATTGCCATGAGGAAATGCCAATCAAAGCCACGATGAGACACCACTTCTCACCTACCTGGGTGAACAAGTTAGAGGAATGGACAGAAAGGGTACTTTACCAGGGGGCAGACTTCACGTATAATTCACAATCCTCGCCCTGAGGAGCAAAAGATGAAATGCTTGTCAGGGATGAGAACCAGAGCCACGGGATCCCAACCAAAGAGGTGGTCCACCCCCGACTTGACTTAGCACACACACATGCTCACACGTGTAGAATATATGCACATATGCACTCTCACACATATACACATGTGTGCACATATGTGCATACATACATTGCTCTCCCATATGTAGGCACACCGCGTTCACACACATACGTGCATGCACGCAATTGTCTCTCATGCACACACATGTGCACATACATACACATGTGCATGTACACATGCACCATACCATCACACATGTGCACACACGTGTGTATACAAAAATGCTTTCACACAAGTGCACACATGCTCCCACTTCCCTCTTCTAGACATAACCCTTCCCACCATGTTCACTCCTCCTCCACACACTGCCTCCCACTGCCTCCTGCCCACGGCCTATCTGTCCTGCCTGAGAGGGACTCCGTGTGTCACTTTCCCCATGCACCCCGGGCTCTCCCTCTCTTCCTGCCACAGGAGCTCCAGGCTAAGCTTCTCCAGGTTCCTGCCTTTTCCCGGGTTCTCACCGCAGGCAGGGTCAGCCCCTGTCCATCAGAGAGGCAATCGAGGGGCTGGCAGACAGGGCTGTCATTGTGTGTGCCACAGCAGCAAAACTGGAAGGATGGGTGGGCTCTGTGAGGGGTGAGGGGCTCTCTGGCAGCCCTCGGCCCCAGCCCCCTCCCCCCTGCTCCCACACTGTGGCCGCATAGTACCCCACAGTTCCAGTGACTCTTGGGCACTGCCATGTGCAACTGGGGCCGGAAGTACTTGGGGTAGTGGAAGCAGGCAGGGTTAGGGCAGCAGCTCTCTGAGCAGGGTGAGATGCGCTGGGTGTTCTCAAAGGATTCTGTCACTGTCACCAAGAGGTCTTTCACTGGAAGAGAGGATAAGAGGTGAGACCCCCAGGAAGAATCTCATTCCCCACTTGGCCCAGCAGAAAGCCTACGTGGAGGTCCCAGAAGGGGCCCATAATCAGAAGGCACAATGCCCCAGCCTCAGTGTCTCTGTGGGGCAGGGCCCCCAGATTTTGCATTTTAGCAAGGCTCATGAGTGATGCTGACAGATGTGGTCACCAGAAAGTCCTATAAGATGCAGAGAGAGTCATCAGACTCATCCTCTCTGTTCTTCTTTGCCAGAAGAAGCCCAGAGTCACCTGCTCACTGCAGAGAAAGCAGGCCCTCGGCACATGGCCATTTTGCTGGCAGAGTTCTCTTCTTCCTTCCCTCCCTGCTCATGTCTGTGGGACCATGCCCTTCCCCCTGGGACAAGCTGTTAGTCCAGCATGAGTGGGATAGGGTGGGTGGAGAGTGGTATTTGTGGACCTCCTTGGTCCTGTCTAGCTATAAAATGCCAGGATTCTGTGGACTGTGGGCTGGCTGGAGGAAGGGTGTAGCTGGAGGGGCCCTAAGGGCTGTTGGTGCCTACCTGCCCCATGTGCTGCCTCTGTCCCAGACCTAGGCACAGAGGGCAGCCCTCTGACCAGGCCCAGGACACTAGGTAGGCCTGGGGACTCCTAGGGCCTGGAAGAACATACCCTACATAGAGCAGGCTGGGGAAGGTGGGGACAAGGATTCACAACGCCCAAGTGTACAATGATGCTGAGGAGTTTCTGTTTTGCTTTCTTGCAGACCAGGCTAAGTTGACCTTGATAGGGTTTGGAATTTGCCCTCCCTCCGCCCTGGGGAAGGAAGCACTCACTTTTCTTACTCTTCCTCTGCCTGGTGAATTCTGCATGAACCTCTAGGCAGGAGACTTGTCGAGACTGTAACAAAGCAAGGAGGTCACCAGGACTCTGAGCACAAGCCACCTCCTCGTTCTTCCAGGACAAAGGGAGTAGTCAGAGGGGACAGATTCAGAGTTGGTTGACCCTGGGCTGACACTGGGAATGCTGGGTGCACTGCCAACATTCCAGAATCCAAACAAGGCATGCCAGCTCACTCAGATAGGAGATACTTGAAAATGAAGCCTCTCGTAAACTCCAGGGCCCACGTCATGGTTTACTGGGGTCGTGTTAACAGGGATGTCAAACTCTGACCTGAGGTAGGGTCAACTCTGCGCTTTGCTCGTGAGAAGGAGTGAAATCGCCTTGGCAAGAAGCAGAGTTAGGCCAAGTGCTTCAGCCACAGCCTTCAGAGGACTCTGCCTTTTCAGAGAGCCTGGGGCACTGGAGACATCTAACTAAAACACTTATACCAACGGCTGAATTATGAAATAATTTTTCTGGGCAACACTGGGTTTTGAACTCAGGGCCTTGCACCTGCTAGGCAGGTTCTCTACCTCTTGAGCCACACCCCCAGCCCTTTGTGCTTTCGTTATTTTTCAGCTAGGGTCTTATATTTTTCCTCAGGGCCAGCCTGGAACATGAGACTCCTATTTGTTTATTAGTAGCTGGAATGACAGGTGTGTACCACCACGCCCAGCTTATTAGCTAAGATGGGGTCTCACTAACTTTTCACCCAGTCTGGCCTTAAACTTCAGTCCTCCCAATCTCTAACTCCCAAGTAGCAGGGATTACAGGTTTGAGCTACCATGCCTGGACCCAAATTATGAAATAATTTGAATATTGAAATTGTTCTCATAGAGGTGTTGGGATTTAGGGGACAGGACTAAGTCTTGTGGGGAGACAAGGCTGCCTGTAGTAGGTTCTTTTATTACTGGGGAAATCCCCAAGAGGAGGGGTCATCTTTTGGGAATGTGGGGTGCTAGCCAGGGTAATGCCCTAGCTTCCTCCTCCTTAGGTGCAGGAGCCCAGTCTGCTGTCCCCACCCTCCCTGCACCCCATTTGGTGGGCTGGTTAGTCTGACTCTCCCTGGGCTCAGGATGGACAAGGCCCTAAGCTGGACCTAGTGACCGCTACACTCCAAGAACAGTCAGATGTGACCTCTGGAGCTATGGCAACCCAGAAGATAATTACCACCAGCACGCCATTGGTGACGAGGGTCTCAGGTGGGGAGGGACTGAAAAGGAAAAGGAGAACCCCGGTCAGTTACATCATCCTTGACTGACTTCTCATGAAAGTGACAAAGAAAACAGATAGGGCCAAGCATAATATGGAGCCTCCTGGGTTCTCGTGAAAAAACCCACTTAACACCAGAGAAAAAAGAACAAAAAAATAAAATATCTTCAGGGGAAACCATAGTCTTGTAGGTTGTCAACAAGGAAAATGCATATATTTTAAATAGAGTGTCCAGTCATCAATAGCTATAGCAAGGTAGCAGGATATAAAATCAACATAGAAAAATCATTAGCATTTCTATACACTAACAATGAGCAAACGGAAAAAGAATGTATGAAAACAATTCCATTTACAATAGCCTCAAACAAAATCAAATACCTAGGTGTAAACCTAACAAAAGATGTGAAAGACCTCTACAAGGAAAACTATACACTTCTGAAGAAAGAGATTGAGGAAGACTATAGAAAGTGGAGAGATTTCCCATGCTCATGGATTGGTAGAATCAACATAGTAAAAATGTCGATACTCCCCAAAGTAATCTACATGTTTAATGCAATTCCCATCAAAATTCCAATGACATTCATTAAAGAGATTGAAAAATCTACTGTGAAATTTATATGGAAACACAAGAGGCCACGAATAGCCAAGGCAATACTCAGTCAAAAGAACAATGCAGGAAGTATCACAATACCTGACTTCAAACTATATTACAAAGCAATAACAATAAAAACAACATGGTACTGGCACAAAAACAGACATGAAGACTGGTGGAACAGAATAGAGGATCCAGATATGAAGCCACACAACTATAAGCAACTTATCTTTGACAAAGGAGCTAAAAATATACGATGGAGAAATAGCAGCCTCTTCAACAAAAACTGCTGGGAAAACTGGTTAGCAGTCTGCAAAAAACTGAAACTAGATCCATGTATATCACCCTATACCAAGATTAACTCAAAATGGATCAAGGATCTTAATATCAGACCCCAAACTCTTAAGTTGATACAAAGAAAGAGTAGGAAATACTCTGGAGTTAGTAGGTATAGGTAAGAACTTTCTCAATGAAACCCCAGCAGCACAGCAACTAAGAGATAGCATAGATAAATGGGACCTCATAAAACTAAAAAGCTTCTGTTCATCAAAAGAAATGGTCTCTAAACTGAAGAGAACACCCACAGAGTGGGAGAAAATATTTGCCAACTATACATCAGACAAAGGACTGATAACCAGAATATACAGGGAACTTAAAAAACTAAATTCTCCCAAAACTAATGAACCAATAAAGAAATGGGCAAGTGAACTAAACAGAACTTTCTCAAAAGAAGAAATTCAAATGGCCAGAAAACACATGAAAAAATGCTCACCATCTCTAGCAATAAAGGAAATGCAAATTAAAACCACGCTAAGATTCCACCTCACCCCTGTTAGAATAGCCATCATCAGCAACACCACCAACAACAGGTGTTGGCGAGGATGCGGGGAAAAAGGAACCCTCTTACACTGTTGGTGGGAATGTAGACTAGTACAACCACTCTGGAAAAAAATTGGAGGCTACTTAAAAAGCTGGACATCGATCTACCATTTGATCCAGCAATACCACTCTTGGGGATATACCCAAAAGACTGTTACTCCAGAGGCACCTGCACATCCATGTTTATTGCGGCACTATTCACAATAGCCAAGTTATGGAAACAGCCAAGATGCCCCAGCACTGACGAATGGATTAAGAAAATGTGGTATCTATACACAATGGAATTTTATGCAGCCATGAAGAAGAACGAAATGTTATCATTCGCTGGTAAATGGATGGAATTGGAGAACATCATTCTGAGTGAGGTTAGCCTGGCCCAAAAGACCAAAAATCGTATGTTCTCCCTCATATGTGGACATTAGATCAAGGGCAAACACAACAATGGGATTGGACTTTGAGCACATGATAAAAGCGAGAGCACACAAGGGAGGGGTGAGGATAGGTAAGACACCTAAAAAACTAGCTAGCATTTGTTGCCCTTAATGCAGAGAAACTAAAGCAGATACCTTAAAGCAACTGAGGCCAATAGGAAAAGGGGAACATGTACTAGAGAAAAGGTGAGATCAAAAAGAATTAACCTAGAAGGTAACACCCACGCACAGGAAATCAATGTGAGTCAATGCCCTGTATAGCTATCCTTATCTCAACCAGCAAAAACCCTTGTTCCTTCCTATTATTGTTTATACTCTCTCTACAACAAAATTAGAAATAAGGGCAAAATAGTTTCTGCTGGGTATTGGGGGGGGAGAGGGAGGGGGCGGAGTGGGCGGTAAGGGAGGGGGTGGGGGCAGGGGGGAGAAATGAACCAAGCCTTGTATGCACATATGAATAATAAAAGAAAAATGAAAAAAAAATAGAGTGTCCAAGAAAAACTAGATTTATAGATTAGAAAGAATAGAAGTTCTTTTTTTTTTTTTTTTTTTTTTTTTTGGTGGCACTGGGGTTTGAACTCAGTGCCTTGAGCGAGCTTTACCACTTGAGTCATTCTGCCAGCCTTTTACTTTGTGCTGGGTATTTTTGAGATAGGGTCTCATAGACTTTTGCACAGGCTGACTTCAAATTGCGATCTTCCTGATCTCTGCCTCCTGAGTAGCTAGGATTACAGGCGCGAGCCACCAGCGCGCAGCAGAAGTTCCATTTTTTAAAAAGACTAATTGTTCTTTTTGTTCAACATGATGTGACTACATGGTTTCATGAGGATTAATAGGTTCAAGACAGGGCTGTAGCCCACCAGCCAGAGCAGACGTAAACACTTTTGGTAGCAAAGAAAGATTCTGTGGTTTATCTAATAATATGCATTTCACAGACAGTTGGGACCCAGTCAGAAAGGGGCTTGGTGGATGGCAAATGTCCTTGTGTTATGAAGTTGGAAAAATGCAAATCTTTAAAGACACAATTAGCCTAAGAGAGTCCACAGCCTTGCTCACCAAAATTAAGCCCAAGACAACTGTCTTCAGATTCATCTGGGGTTCGAACTCAGGGTCTCATGCTTGCTGGGCAGGCGTTCTTACTGCTTGAATCTCTCCACCAGACCCAGGTCCGCTCTATCAATTTCGACTCAGTTCATTTTGCAATGCACTTTCTAATCCAGTCAAAGAATCCTATCCCCAATAACTGTCAAACCAAGAACTAGAGAAGAGAGCCTAGACTTTCTGCCATCACAAATTCCCAAGGGATTTCACGCGTGCTGACCAGATCAGGGTGAGTGCCAGGATGGAGATGGAAGAGGGGAGGATGCCAAAAGGGCGGAGCCAGCTCTGAGGGTCAGGACCTCGGCCTACCCTCTGCAGGTGGGGCTGGGACCTACTCACCTCTCCGTCAGCAGGAACTCCACTTCCAGTTCTTCTATGCCCTGGCAGAGGAGGAAGAGAAGGTGGCTAGGAGCCCTGCCTGCACATCTCGGCTGCCTCTGCAGACGGGACTTGTGCTCCTCATGCTCAGCCCTGCTGCCATGGAGTGGGGGCTCTTGCCCGCTCTACCTCTTCTGTCCCCAAGTGTCTGGCATAAGGAACAACACTGACAACACGGGGAAGTCGAGGTATGGAGTTGACCCCTGCCCCAGCATGGACGTTCCTTTGCTCTGGAATGTTCCCTTTGTATCTGTACCCATGGCTCCTCACCACTCTCTTGCCTACCCGTGGGGCTCAGGGCTTAGGCAAAGGGGTGCTGAGCTAGCACGTGTGGAAATCCAACTCCGCCAGTGAGGGCCCCTTGCCTCAGCTGGTCCTTCATGCCTCTTGTGTAACTTGAGGCAAGTCATGGCCTCACTGGGCCTCAGTTTCTCCACTAGAATGTACTTGAGGTGAGGGCAGAGATGCTTGTTCCCTGATGTGTGTCCCATGCTGGAACAGTGCCCAGTTCACAGCAGGCACTCAGATATTTGTTAAATGATTTAATCAAGAACATTCTCTCCAGCTTGACCTTCTCTGACTTACACAGATTTGGCCTCCTTCACCCTCATCTGTCCTCTGTGCATCCCAGAAACAGGACTTTGAGGCAAGGAAAAGGGAGACGGGACCTAACACATCTTCATTTTGTACCACAAACACTGACTGCTTGGTGCTTTAATTACGTTTTCTCATTTAAAGCGCATGGCAATCCTTTGTGGTAGGTATTATTATCACCATGGCATATGGATGAATAAATAGAAACTCAGGGACTTAGGGAATTTTCCCCCTCAGAGAACACAGCTAGAAAACGATAGTGGTAGGATTTAAACCCAACTTGGCTGTGTGCATGGAGAAGAGTGGCATCAGGAATAAATGGCTGTCCTCAGGAAGCAGGGGGCTGAGGGCCTGGGCCTCGGTACCCACCTCTGGATTGAGTGGGAACTTCACATGGGTTTTCTTCCTGAAGCAGAGCTTGGCGAGGTCATAGAGAACTGTCAAGAGATGGTCATCTGGTGTCACTATGTCTTCATCACAGACACTCAGCTCCAGCACATTCTGGGAGAAAGAGAGGATGCAAGTCCAGCTACCACGGTGGCACTGACCCGCTTCCAGGACAAGGGGCCTAGTCTCAGTCCTAGCAGGGAGGTAGGTCTGAAGGACAGGGGATACAGAGAAGTTCCTGCTCAGGCACAGAGACATTTGTAGGGAAATGATTTAAGGGGGAAAGCATCCGGGGCTTCTTTCCAACTCTCTGAAAACTCACTGCCCCTCTGATCTGACCAGTGGAGAACTCGGCCCTGTTACAAGCTTGTGTTGCCTGGGAAGTGCAGAGAGCTTTCATTTCACCTGGGGGGAAGGGCAGAAAGAGCAGAGCAAGCAAGACCCTTGCCAAGATAGAAAATGCATCCAGAACTGGGCCCTGGGTGTTGAGGACAGCCTCTTTGGTGCTAGAAAAGCCACACTGGGAAAACTAACATTTTAACTCTCCAGAGAAGTCATAGGGCAGAGGTTATAGAGATTCTGATGATTGGTGGAGTTAGAATAAGGTTGTGAAATCCATTCCTTGGCTCATCAGCCTCTAATAAGATTTTGTGGGTAGTCTCAAAGTAGCACATGAAGAGGCAAGAAGCTTCCCCAGCAAGTGGCTGGACTCCTTGGCCTCAGGTGGCCTCTTATCCCAAGGATGCAGGGTTACGTGGTTAGAGGATAGGTTTGCCTTCTGGGATCCTACCTAGTGGACCTAACTGTGGTTCTTGGGGTTCTCAGCTAGATGAGATCCATCAACCTCGTTACTGTTAGAATCCTAACATGTCCCAGAACCAACCCAGAAACCCCATAAGCCTTAGGGTAAAGGAAGCCCAAATTCTGTGAGCCCACATGGAAATCCTCCTCCCTCACCAAACTCATACATATGATTTTTAAAAAAGCATTTTAAAAGTAAACTAGCTTGGAGGCTGGGTTTGGGGGCTCAAACCTGTAATCCTAGCTACTCAGGAGGCAGAGATGAGGAGGATTACAATTCCAGGCCAGCCCAGGCAATATCTGCAAGACCTCACCTTAACCAATGGCTGGGTGCAATGGCACACACTTGTCATCCCAGCTACTAGGAGGTACAAACAGGAGGACTGCGGTCTGGACACAAAGTGAGACTATATGAAGAAATACCTAAAGCACAAAGGGCAGTGGGAGTGGCACAAGTGGTAGAGCACCTACCGAGCAAGTGCAAGGCTATGAGTTCAACACCTAGTGCCAATAAAATAATAAACTAGCTTGGTGTAGTGGCACGTGCCTATAATCAGAGCACTCAGGAGGCTTAGGTAGGAGGATTGTGAGTTTGAGACCAGCCTGGGCTACAGAGTGAGTTAAAAGCCAGCCTGGGATATATAAGAAGATTCTGCCTCAACAAAACAAAATAATAACATTAATAATGATAAAGACCTTTTTGAAAACATAAAAGGACTGTCCATGAACTAGAAAACATCACTAAGAAATGGAAGTAGTGATCTGGAATTGTCACAGCTCAAGTGTCTCAAGACTGGAATTGATGCCTCCATAACCCAGGCCAAGTTTGCCTTAAGGGCTCTCTTGCAGCTGTCACAACTGTGGGAGCATCCCACAGTAAATATGAACTTGACTCAGACCCATAGTATATCTGAAGAAGACCAAGCCCATGAAACAATAACTCAACAAATGAAAGAACACACCCCCAAAGAAACAGATATAATAAAGCAACCAGAAAAGGATTTAAGAAAGAGAAAACAATCTGGCTGGAACTAGATTGGCCTAGTTAGTAGACTGCCTCATCTCTTCTTCTGCTTGGAGCATGCTCTGGAAGATGCTAGAAACACAATCTGTTCTGGAGCAAGAGACATCCAGTACCAGGAACAACTAGAGAGAATGACCAAGGTGTCGCTCAGAGAGGGACACACATGAGATAGGCAGGAGGAAGTAGTGTGTGAATGGGAAGAGAGGTTGTAGGACGAGAAGTAGGTAGAAATGAAAACAACAGGACAAGAAGGACACAAGGGCAAAGAGAAGGCAATGGGTCAGAGAGGAGCCCAAAGGCGACAGGTTCCTCCAGGTCTCACCTTCACTTGAGTCTGGATCTGGAAGCTGAAGCTTTCGTTCCACTCTGGGTTTGGGCAGTTGGAGATGGTTCTAGTCCTCAGCTTCTCCTGAGAGGCAGTGGGCAGCCAGAGGCTCACAAAGCAGTCCGTCTGGCTCACTGTTCAAGGAAGACAAGGGTAGAAGAGAAGGAAGTGAAACTAACCCGGATTTAAAGAGGAGAGAGCATGGAGTCAAAGGGAACCTCAGATCAGCCTCTTCCTGAGCAAGGCCTCCTCTCAGGTGCAGGTCCTCTCCTGACACAGGGCTCTACCTCCAAGACACCTTGGTCCTAGAACCCTGAGAGGGTCACAAACTGGAAGATATAGGTTTGATGACAGGGGTTGGGGAGAGTAATGTCACAGTGACCATTCTCATGGACACAGGTGACCTGAGGCAGAAGCACCCCATTCTCTGAGCAAACACCTATTGGTTTGGGACAAGGTATGGCTATACAGTTCTCCCTCTGTCAGGGAAAGATCTCAAAGACCTGCCCCAGGGGTCCAGTTTACTTCTTGCCTTAGCCCAAGGGGAACCAAGAGTATACCTACGTATACTCTTCCTCTGAACTGAGGAGAAGTGAGAATGAGGAGGGAACACAGTCTGCTGGTAGTGGGCCAAGAAGGGAGCTCTGGTGGGAAGTGGCTTGGACCTAGGAGCAGACACCACCCTCTCATATGGCTTAATGCCTCAATGGCACCCAGCCAGTTCTCTGTACTTATCTCAGTCTCCCAGCATAAGGTGTATGACCCAAGAAACTCTCTAATTTGTGGCCATGTATTTTTTTTTTAATTTTAAGTAAACAATTCAAGTGTGATGATGCTCAGTATGTCCCAGAGAAGGGACAAAAGCCCATCAGGCCTTTCCAAGATGGACGAAGGCCTCCTAAGACCTCTGGTTGGAGCAGGAGAGGGATAGGGCAAAGAATAGCAGCCAACCCAGCTCCCATCCTCCAATCTACCAGGGAGGAGGAAGGAGGGTACACCAGATATACAGAATTTGGTGAAAGTCAATACAGTGTCCAGTGTCGGAAGTCCTCTAGATAGTTAAAGCTGGGTTGGGTAGGAGCTCCACACTGGAGGACTAATCCAAACCAGTTCATAATTATTATTAATGATTGCTGATAAGAATGGAACCACCAAGAGCTTTGTCAGTGCCAGTAGCCACGTTTTGCATCACGCCCATTCCTGGCTTCTGATTTCACTCCTGATGTCTGCCTAACCAGCTCATTATTCACAAGTAAGAATTAATTGCCCTCTTTCCAGTGAATAAAGGTGAGATAGCTGGCATGGTGGTTCCCACCTATAATCCCAGCACTTGGGAGGTTCCAGGCCAGCCTAGACTACATAGTGAGACCTTGTTTCAAAAAACGAAACAAAGCAAAAGGTGAGATGACACTGTCCTTTTGATGTCATAATAATCATTTAATCCAGGCAGAAAGAATGACCAAACTCTGACAGACAGAATCAAGAAAATGATGACCTCATCATCCCCACCCTCTCTGTGTCCAACCTGTTCTCTCACCATCGACTCTTCTGGAAACCTTCCTGAGTGCTCAAGTCTGGGCCAGGTGTCCACTGGCCCTGAGCCCCTGTTCCTGTCCTGGCAGCATGCCACACTGTACTAAGAAAGCAGTCTGTCACTATCACAGTGCAAGTATCTCAAGAGCTGGGAGGTTGTGGGTCTCTGGCCCTTGAAACAAAGTCGACACTTACTCTTTTAAATAAATGAATGAATGACAAAAAGTCAACTTCCTGCTGTAGAGCTGGATCAACAGCCAGGAAATTCTGGGCTGAGTCACTACAGATCCAGGTAAGCAAGTCAGTGCACCACATTGCTCTGGGAACAGGGAGACTTACCAGGGGCCTGCAAAGCCCTCTTGGAGTCCTCCCTTGACTTTTTCTGGACACTAGCCCTTCCTTCTGAGTTTGGGACACTCCCTTCATGTCTGCCTCCTGTCTGGTAGGAGTCTACAGGCAGGGACCAACTCTACACTTACTACTCTACAGCCTCTTAGCATGCATGGCATGGAGGATCCTGTGGAGTCTTTGTCCCTCTAAGATTGCATCCTTATCACCAGTCCATGTTTCAAATTCTCCCATTAAACCCACTCAATAACATCTCAGTATTTCGGCCTAAGGTTTAAATCTCGAGTTAAGATAAAAACACTTAGAAGAGACGAAGTTGACCACACACTCACTCCCCAGATGTTAATTTGTTTTACATTTCTTTTGCAAAATCTCCCCCACCCTCAAACACACCAAAGACCAGGAATAAGGAAAAGGGAATCCTGGGGAGGGCAATACTGGGAAGAGGATGATGGAGGAAGATGAGCCAGGATGACAATCTGGGGGAGGCAACATTCACTAGAGAGTGACTGTCATGTTAATAAGGCAATGTTGACCCAGACTGAGCTGTCAGGAACTCCAGGGGATTTCCCAGCAAAGACAGGTTCTAATCCTTGTTCCTTGTGGAGTGACAGAGCACTTGGTCATATGACGTGTACCTTTTCTGCATTGTGGGTGACAGACATGACTCAACTGTCTTCATATATGTTCAGAACATCGTCTCCCCAGTGCTCCCACAGACACCTACCTGATACCCCTTGGGTGCTGGCTTGGATTTTAGTTTTCTTTCCCAAGAAGAATAGAAACTTCTGATGACTGGGATGTTTCTGGACTGTCTACCAGTCCTAGCCCCGAGCTGGACCCAAGTGCTCTTTTAGCTCTTGGTGAACTCTCTGCTGTTAGCCTCTTCAAAATCTTGGGGAACAAAGGTATGGGCTAGAGGCCTAAACCAGAGAGCCATTTCTTTTGATTCAAGCTAGAAGGTGACTTCAAGCAGGAGTGTCCCAGGATCTGAAAAGCATTGCAATAAGTCTCCAACATAACCCAGGGGAAGACAGAGACATGGCTGAGCCCATGACAATCATGGAGTCCAAACCTGATGTGACCAGGGCCTGGACCCTCAGATGCCAAATACACCTTCCTTAGGGGGAATGAGGAATGTGCAAACAATAAGGAGGTTCCCAAAGAGGATACCCCAACGCAGCCTGCATGCCAGAGGGGTATGTGGTGATGGGGAAGATGAGGTTGAAAAAGCCAGACTACTGCCTGTGCTGCCAGCTGCCAGATGCTGGGGACAAATGTGTCAGGGAGAAGGCGGAAGAACCCTGAACAATGAGAGCTCTAGAACACAGGTGCAGGCATGCAGAGAGAGTATACAGTCAGGGTGACTCGAGGAGTTGGGGCAGACACACCTCAGGAAGAGCTGGAGGAAGGCATTTGGGAGCTGGGGCTGTCCCTGAGGGGAGGGACAACCTCTGCCCAAGAGGGAGTGAGGTGAGTGAGGTAAGTACCCACCACAGCATGGACAGGAAAGGCAAGGAGGCTGTAGCCCTGGCCCAGGGGATCCTTTCTGGCTCCTCAAATCACTCACTTATTGAGCCTGAGAAAGCCCCCAAGAAGCCCACAGAAAGATCCCTGCCAGCTGCTTGGCAGGCACAGGCCCCAGCTTGACACTTGCTGGGACGGCTCCTGTTGGCATGGGCCCTGGACACCTCACCCTCCAGAGGCTCTATCTGCATCCTGCTTGTTCCCTTTGCTGTCTCTGAGGCTTGAAGGGCTTTCCCTCCTCCACCCTCTACACTCACCCCTATATCACAAGTTCCCAGCCTCTCCCATGGGTGCTCCAAAGGATCTGCTCTCGGGAAGTCACACAATGCCTTCCTCAGGAACTCAGTCACCCAGTCACTTGGAGACCATCAGATCTCTCATCTGCCTAACTTCCAGGCTGTCCACCAACTGGCTCCAGCCTCCCTCCCCTGCCTGTCCCATGTTTTCCCCAGCTCTCCAGATCTGGAATCAAACACTACTTCCACTGCAGACAATCATTAACTCCTCATATGCAACATGGGCTTCCCATGGATACCCCTCAGGTTGTTGGGAGGATCAAATGGTGTTTGGAGGGCTGGGTGCTGGTGGCTCACGCCTGTAATCCTAGTTACTCAGAAGGCAGAGTTTAGGAGGTTTGAAGCCAGCCCAGGCAAAAAGTGTGTGAGACCCTATCTCGAAAAATACCTTCACAAAAAAAGAGCTGGTGGAGTGGCTCAAGGTGTAGGTACTGAGTTCAAACCCTGGTACCACAAAAAAAAAAAAATGATGTTTGGACATCTGGAGCAGCCAGCCACAGCAGGTATTCAGGAAATGTATTCTCTCTCAGGATGGCCTCTCCTCAGGCCAGGATCCTGGTCTCTGGATACTTACATCTTGTCCCTGTCAGACACTGGGCCCTCAGTGCCCCTTTGTTGGCTCAACCAGATCTGTGTTCTCTAGCTCTAAGTTCTGTAGTGACAAGACTGGATTGCCATCTTCTGTTATTCTATAACTACTGTGGACGTTGATGTTGTCCCTTGTTAAAATGTGCACTCAGCACAATGGCACTGTGTTTCTCTGTCCCCTCAGGCCCTCCCTAGCCCTTGGGGATTCTGTGGACCTTAAGTTACGACTGTGTAGTCATCAGTGAGTGTGGACAATCCCATAGCTATGGGTCTTGAACCTGGGGCTTCCTCTCCCTGGAGGAGCCAAGCTTCTTCCCCAGAAGGCAGCATGGGGAGGGGCTTATCTCCTGAAAGCCACCCCAAAGACAGGTGTGTGACATATCCTGCCCACTCTGATGCCTTCATTTCTTCCTGAAGCAGAGGCCTCCCTGGGTCCCTGTGGCCTGGGAATGCAGCAAGAGCCAGGATGAAGGGGAAGCCAGGCTAGGAGATGATACTACCTAACAGTGTAAGTCCAACCACATCCCAGACACTGGCCTTCAGAGCTGGCTGCTATGGGCTCTGGCATGGCCCCAGTCAATTTGGGATCCACATCCAGAGAAGGCGCTTGGAATCTGGTGCCACAATGCCTTTCCTACTTCAACGTGACATCCCTTAAACTCATGGAGAAGCAGGAGTGTGAGAAGCTGGTGCTCTGGAAATGGACACTGGGAGGAGAAAGTGGGGTAGAGAGAGTGGAGGACAGACCAGGCAGAGTCTGCAGAGCTGATAGTGCCAGGGTGATGGCAAGAGTGAAGGCCCTGAGAATGACATAAACCCCCAAACCTTCAATACAACTACAGTAGAGAGCACACACACACACACGTACGTGTGGAAACACACCTGACCATTTCTCCAGCCAGGGCCTCTTTCTATCCAGACCCCATTAGCAGAGAAGAAGGAGGGGAGAGAGGAGGGTACTCACCCATATCAGCCTGTCGGACATTTTTCATGCGGATGACCCTCACTGTCAACCAGTGGCACGGAGACAGTCCATCCTGTGGGTTGAGAGGACACTGGACTCATTCTTCCAGCATCACTGCAAGGCCAGTGACCTTGATAAGACTTCCCACCATGTGCCTCCCTCCCCATTTTTATTATAGCAACCTCCATGCTGTTTTGCCATTGTCGGCTTGGGTAGCTGTCTTCCCTCCTGCTTGGAAGGTTCTAGAAGCTCCTAAGAGATTGGGATCCTGTCTGGTTTTTCATCTTTGTAAACTAGTACTTGTGGCATGCTTATATATAGAAGGGGCTCAATAAATGTTTGTCTAATGAGTGAGTGAACGAATGTTCTGGCCCCAAGCACAGAAGGAACACGAATACCAAGGGAGTCCTTAGGTGGTTCCACTCTCCTTCTTTGAAAAACTTCTTATTCCCACCCAACACAGAGTAAAATTTCCCTTGCCCACCCAAGATGACAGCTTTCTCAAGAGGCAGATGCAGTGTGGCTGGGAAGGATGACAGACACCCATCAACCCCAAACTCCAGGTCCCTTGGGACCCTTGTGCCAGGTGCTCACCACCACCCTGTTGCTTAACCTTGGAGCAGGGCCTTTGAGCCTCTTCCCCAGAGTATCCACCCCAACATCTTCCTGTATTTCTCCCTCCCAGTTAACAATCTGCCTCCTGGGTCTTCATTGTGTTGTGCTATTGATACTTGTGACATCTTGGCTACTGTGCAATGGCCTCTCTTTCATGAAGGCAAAACCTCAAGTAATCCTCCATTTGATGACTGATGCCTGTCAGAGGCCTCTGCCGGTTTTGCTAACCCCAGGCCCTGGAGCCCTGGAGTTCTGCCTCTCCCATAGTGCTTGGTCCTAATGGCTGGGGTGTGGATATACCCTGAACCCTGCTAATGCTTCACCTTCTGCCTGCTGAAGCTCAGCCCCTCAAATAAGCCCCACACCTGCCTTAGCCAGGATCTGGGGCAGTGGGAGTGGCTTCTGAAGGCCCCACCCTCAGACTCACACATGTCAGTGTGGTTCATCTTTGTCTTCCTCTGGTCCAGTTACTTTTTGCTTCCTATCTCACCAGCTTCTTTATCCCACAGCTACAGTGTCCTGGCACCACCTCCTCTGCCTATGGAGAGACTGCAGCTCTCTGCCCAGTCCCCTTTTGCCCACTGCTCCCTGCCCCAGGTTTCAAAGTGGCCATTCATCCCTTTCTGAGCCTCTGTAATGATGTGTCATCTAGAGTTCAGGCCACTTGTCACCACTTCTCCCTATCCCTTGACTTTCAGGTGGCATTTTTGAGCAGCTACTGCAAACCAGACCCTATATTAGATGCTGGGAGCCAAGGTGAATCCTGGGCAGAGGGCAGGCAGAGAGTTTAAAAAGACAGTAGGACACACCAGCCATAGACTTCTGCTCAGCTTAAATCTCCCTAGACCTAGAAGCTCCCCACAGTCTACTATGACTCTGGACTCTGGAGGCCACTCCTGACCTTTCGGAGAGCAAAGCTGCTGAGATGGAAGGCTTACCTCCTTGTCCCTCTCTGAGTGAGCAAATTGTGGAAACTTCCTGCCTATTCTCTTTGGGTGTCTTGTTCTCGCTTTTCAGTTGGGGCCTTTTCTGTTTGAACCTCACACTGGAAGCTCTTTCCCTGTGTGGTACCTAGGCCTGGTCCACTTTTGGTACTGTTCCTGAGCCCATGACAAACATTGACTCCCCAGCCCACCAGTGACTGTTTGTGGAGATCACTAAACTGAAGCCTTGGCTTTTCACCCAACATATGCCCCTCTGCACTGCTAGAATCACTTGGTGCCTTTTCAGGACAAGCAATTCTCTTTAAAGAGGGTTGAGATTTGCAGAAAACAAAGTTCGGTGGAAACAAACCAAAAAAGAGTCCCCATAATCCACCTCTTAGAGATAGTCAGTGCTATTGTTTTGCTATTTGTCCTTCCAGACTTTTCTGGGGCTTCATTCTAACCAGTAGCAATGGCACAATGATTCTCGGAAAACTGAGTTATTTAGTCCCAGAGACAGACATGTAATTCCAGGGTCTCTTCTCCTCTCCCCAACAGCTGACTCAAAATCAGAACAAGAATGAGACTGACAGTCAGTCCTATATGGCCCACACATTCCTTTTGTGAGATTAACTCTAAAATCCTGACTATGTTCAAGGTCAACAAATTGCTCTAATGGTATTTAGTTGTGATGTTGTGACTTGGGCCACAGGCCACACACACTACCTCTCTTCTGGTTCTGGAAGCATGCCTGTGGTCTGTGGCTGGACCTCTCTAGCCTGGTGGGCTCATTTCTCACTCCTGGGGAGAGTGAGTCCTGGTCTGGCCTGGCGAGGAGACAGAAGTCACCTTTCAGCAGGACCACCCCCCTATACACTTTCTCAGGGAGTACCTAGGGGACAGGTGGGAGCTGTGAAGCCCTCAGCCTAGGGCTTAGGGATATGTCCTAGTGTTACAGGGCTTTTGAACTTAGGGTCCAGGGTCCTCACAGCCATCACTGCCCTTCTGCCTCCAGGAAGAACTGTCATGGCCCAGCCTAGCTCCTGGAGTGTCTGCTCTAGGAGAAAGAAGCACCCACAGTTTCCTTAGGACCATGCCCCAGGTCTCCTGCCTTTCAGGGATCATTCTCTCCTGTCATCTAACCCAATGCTCCCCATTCTGTCCAATCCTGCAACAATAATGGCAATATTAGTGACCAACCATCTGTTGATAGACGCCAGGGTCTATCACGTACCACATTCTGTGACATCTTCTCTATAGATTATCTTGCTTCGTCCTTACAGCCATCCCACATCCTCACATTACAGAGGGAGAAAATGGGGCAAGTTCTTTGACACAGTGCTCTCTGCTAGAATCTGAGTTTGGATCCAACTTAATTCTTAAACCTGGTTTCATAACTACGGCTATCCTCTCACCTTGCTTGAAGCAGCCCTTGGCAAATGAAGACAGATGTGGCTGGTCCTTGTGTCCTCTGCCTCAGTCTTCTCCTAGAACCAGCTTTCCTGACAGATTTCTCCTCCTCACCCTGAACTGTCCCAAAGCCCCAAACTTGGCAGTCCTTCTACTGACTGTGCTCTTGCTAACTACATGTCTACAGACACAGCCCATGATCACTGTTTTTATGAGCGTCCAGAGCACATCACAGCCATTGAGGACCTTGGAGAAGTTCCCACCGAGGGCTCCTTGGTGGTCTACCTCAAGTCTCAGATCACACCTGCTGGCTCAGGAATATTCAGAGGGAGACTCAATATCAAAGTACTCCAGTAGGTGCTTCTACATTTTGCGGGCACAGAGATAGAGCCTGGAAAGGGTTTTGGAGACACAGCAGAGGGACTAGAGACGTGGCTCAAACAGTAGAGGGCAAAGCCCTGAGTTCAAACCCAAATACTGCCAAAAATAAAAACACAAACAAATAAAT